TATCTTTAACCCGGTTAACGGCTTTCACTAGCAGTTTTTGCTGGCAGAATGAGATCACCCGGCAAAAGGTACATTGACTACAACATCGCGCGATTGTCATATATATTCGTCTATCTGTCTACCTAATTCTATGTACATATTTGCTAGTGCCCCACCTACCTCCGCGCCTACCTGGTTGCCTGCCTACCTCCGCACCTGCCTACCTCCGCACCTGCCTACCTGTCTCCGCGCCGCCTACCTGCCTGCTTGTCTACCTCCGCGCGCTGCCTACCTGCCTACCTCCCTACCTCCGCAGCTGCCTGCTTACCTGCCTACCTATTAGGAGCTTAATTGACGTTGATTTGGTGCCCCGTCAGTCGTCGATTTGGGCGTCGATTTGGGCGTCGATTCGGCACTCTATTTGATGCTCGATTTGGTGCTGTATTTGGTGCTCTATTTGGCGCTGTATTCACTGCTGCTGCTGGTCTCGCTGCTGCTGGATTAATCGCTGTTCAATTCGTCGATTAGCGCCCACTTTGATGATAACCGTGATGGTGATTGTGGGGGAATAGGGGGGGGGGGGGGGTTGATGGTACTTGGAGATTGTAGAGGTGATGGAGATGAACAGGCGCAGACGGCTTGATATTTGCTAAGTGCCCAACCCTAACTCATAGATTGAGCTCTAATTCCCTTACGGATTTCTATAATCCTTAGCCATTCGGAAGCCTTAGTCCTAGAAAAGGTCTTAAAAAAAGCGTGATACATGCATAACCCTGAGCAACGGTCACACTTATGCCCAAAACAGGCCAAATTTGGGCTTATTTGAGACGTAAGGTCTAAATATGACTTTTCGCCTGCTTCTCAGGCTTATAGAAATACCCGTTCTGACCCTAATGTAATAAGGACTATAAAAAGAAATAAGGCCGAATTATCGAAAAAGGATGATATATTGCTTTTGGGGGCCTTATTAAGCCTAATATTAGGCTTCAAACACTACCCGTCTCAACGGTAAAGTACGGGCTGTATATACGAAAATACACTCAATTAGTCATTACCTCTTGTTCTTCAATTAAGAAGGAATGAATAATCAAGACGTGTATCTACCTTTTATCCTCCACACACCCGCATGAACTACCACCATGATTACCCTCTGTCACTCGGGTAATCAATGCAATTAATGAATTAGAAGAAAAAAACCTGTCATTCTCTTTGTTGAGTGAGAAAATATGACCGAGTGATATATGATGATCACAGTGGCCACTATCTTTTTTTCTTTTTTTCTAATCCATTAATTGCATGCAGATGATGGCTACCTCGTTGTTCGTTTTAAATTGTTTGTTTCCCAACCGACACGGAAATCATCTTGTTATTTGGAGAATCAGACTCCGTTTGGAAGTACACTTTTGTTGTAACCACCATCCTCGCCAGTTGCGATTTGGATGATGGATATTGTCATCCAAACGCCTCTAATATTTTCTTGATAATCTTGCGCAGAAAGGGCTTACCACATCAAAATTTGTATTAAGGTTGTTTGTATTTGGTGGGTCATGTCCCAACGAAGAGGTTGATTGCAATTGCGAGGATCATTATTCCCGGGCTCTGGATTGAAATTGAAATAGTGTATTCAAACTCTCAAAATTTCTCCGTGTCACAATTTTCTTGGGATCATGACTAGCGTGTCTTCCGGACAGAGCCTTAGTAGTAGTCAAGTTAGTCAAACTATAAAATTAATTACCGCTACTCCAAGCTGGATCTTTCCTTATCACTGCTCCAGTAGATGATTACTCTAGGAGTGCTCAGGTGGTCATGGATGACAGAAGACACGGAGGCAACCTATGCTTTCTGTATAGCATATATTGAGGTCATGGGCTATTCCCAGTATCGACCTGTGCTGTCCGAGCGAGATAGCTGCCCTGTCCAGATAATATCTGCATAGTACAGTACGATGCCAGTCGTGAGGGTCAGGCGCGGCGTCGCAACGCCGCGCGCGCAACCAGATTTCCACAACCTTTTCACGGCAGGTTGGTACACAAGATATTAAATGTCAAATTATTGTTATTTATCTACTATTTAACAACTATACAAAAATTCAGCTCTCCAAAGGATCAATTGTGGTTGCTGTGCTGGTACCCGTGATGGTTCGGGGGGCGTTGCGACGCCGCGCCTGACCCTCACGGCTGGCATCGTACTGTACATACCATACGAAGAGCCTCCTCTATCACGAACTAATCTGAACAGAATATTCTGTTCAGGGTGGCTGAAATTGTCCACCAGTGTTATTTGGGTATATAGTGTCCGTTGTGAGGGATACGATATTACAACCTGAACTATCAGGGTCGGAGTAATTTCGACAGACATGTTTGTAAATACCTTTTTTTTTCTTTCTTCTTTTTTGACACAATAATACCCTCGTTGATAGAGATATCCGTGATGGTAAATAATATCTGGATAGGGCAGCTATCTCGCTTAGACAGAACAGACCCACTCCGGTACAAGACTCAGCGATGCTTTATGAAGCATCACTCGGTTGTAGAAGCACGTTGTGTTAAAACATGGCTTCCAAAGCTAGCATCAAAGAGGTTTTAAAGTTAATGACTATAATTCTGTAACTGGGATCATTCCTCATGTATGAAGCTTCTTTCAAGTTCCCTTCACGTCAAACCAAGCGACAGTTGTGAATGTTTAATGAGGGCCACGAGAAGAGATCAGATTCGCAGTGGTTTCATCTTATTCGTTCCAGAGGGCGATTAAGCCAGCCCAGGTCAAACATATGCAGGGCCCGGCCTAGCCCGGCCCGCTTGCTCAAGGCCTGGGACATTGAGTGAAGATATATGGGCCCCGAATTAAAGGTTGTAATAATTTAGTTATATAATTATCGAAATACATAAATATAGTACAAAGTTATTTGTCCCTTTCTCACCCTCCTTCTAAGATAGAAATATAGTTGGCTAAATGACCTTCTCTGGAAATACCTGGGTCCAAATCATATCCGAAACCCACAGGGCTATTAAATGTGGCAAAAGCCCGGGTCAAAATCTGTCACGGCCCAAGCCCTCCGTTCCGTGGCCAATCCCAAGTCGCCCCCTGCTTATACGGAATACGAAAGAAACGGCTTCAGGAGTCTCAAGAGGTCTCGAGAGTATCACGAGATAATTGTAGTCTCATATCCAATCCTGGAATAGGCACCTTCTCCTTCCACCGGAATACCCTCCACACTGTAACAGTTGTTAATTGATATTTGGCGAGGGGTGTCTAGATCTCCTGTAAAGGTCGAAGGTTTCCGATGAGCTTGTTAAGAGAATATCCAAATTTTGGATTAATATATAATCACGTGCATGATCCATAAAGAGGTAAATTATTTAATGACGTGCTGATTATTATTAGACATTTACGTTAGGTATAGGTAGTGGCGCCGGAATCCTGTACTTAGCATATATATCTCGAGACCAACCTCACTCTTGTCTGGAGATGGTTGTCCCTTCACACTTGCTGTATTGCCAACTCTTGCAAAAAAGTCTCGAGACGATAACTCGAGACATCTTGTCTCGTGACCATCACTATGAACGTTTCAAAGGCGTAGATGTAATACTTCAAGTTCGGGATTATAGGGTCCTGCGCCGGTGTATATAATTTGTATATGTACCTTATATCGATCTATAGCGTAGCATCGACCCAAGTCGAATCGGTGTGCTCCACGAGCTTCCTCTACAGTGTAAGTAAATGAGTCAATAAATGAATCATTTCTGAACGTTAGGACTTTGGTGGGAAATGAATCCCCTGAATTGGGTGGTTAACGACATCGGGAAATGTCACGTTTTTACTATGTGTTAACGAATCAGTAAATGAATCCCTTAGTTCAGTACATGATGTACGTACACATTAATAATAAATGAGCTAGTCCGAAAGAGGATATTCTAGGCGGTCAATTATTTGTTTGCCTAAGAACAGCAAAAATAATTGCTAGCAGTGAGGGTTGAACCTAGAAGCCCTAGAAACACTTGATAGACTACATGTATATCACTTACGCCAAATAACACAGAATAATTATAGGTTTATGCACATATCAGTGGAATATAGTGGAAATGTGTAAAGAAAATGCTATTTTAATGTACAGTTCGGGTGAAATGGGTACAGGAAATGCTACTTTAATGCATTGCAAAAAGTCACTCTGTAAATGCATCACTTGGGGTTGGAAATGAATCACTTGTGTCATTTACCAACGGCGTCCCCGGTAAATGAATCAATTGATTCGGTTACTCAATTCGCTTTGGTGGGTAATGCATCAATTGATTCATTTACATTGCTAGTAGAGTTCTTGAAAGCTGTAATCGATGATGATAGGCTTATACAAGTGTAATATCAACCGTGCAGAAATGCCTGTTAGGGTTAGGGTTGAATATTCTGAAGCTCTTTGTAACAGTTGAAGCGCGAGAGGATGCTGGCTGCGGAACTCGGCTTCGAAAAGATTCAAAATATAGCCAACTCAACTTCTGGCGACAGCTGCTCGTGCTTGGCTAGCGCGGACTACGTTGGCAGATCATAATTGTGCTTGATAAACCGAACGTTTGCCTGCGTCGGCTCGTGGTTACCCCCCAATATACAGGAACCTGGCGAATCCCCCGGAAGAAAAGTAATAACCACATTTATTACTTCTCCAATCGGTCGGCTGCATCATTACATATAAGTATAGAGTCTATCTACCATCTTTCAACCTCGTCGATCCTGCATGACCACATACTTGTAACGCCAGGCAATTAATTAAGAACACAAGGCAAATATGACTAGTGATTATAAATCTTAGCTTTAGTCATAAAAAAGTCCTAGCTAATTCAATTCAGGTCATAGAGCGGGACATCAAACTGCATACATAAACAATTCATAAAAGAACAAAAGGAAATGAAACAAAGGAAAGTCAGACCAACATTATTTAAAAATATATGGATATACGCCACCCCCCCCCTCCCCTTTCCTCAATCGACCCCACCCTAATTATGCGGATCGTCCGGTAGACTTCTGCTTCCTCATAGATGCGGCCAGAAGTCTATCCACAGCGGAGTTTCAAATAATTCGTCCGTTGCTCTCCGCAAGCCAATATATGAGTCAATGGTAAAGTAGATTGAACAAGCGAAAGTAAGGGTGATGAAAAAGATACATGTCGAGAGAAGAAAGTAGTGCCAGACCAGCAAGAGAACTCGGGAAAATGATGATCTGGGCTTGTTTGGATCCGGGTCTACACGTTTTGCGCACATCTTATGCATTTCTCTGAAAGTATATGGTATGAGCGAACGCCGACTCTTACTCCGGTCGCCCGTACTCCCCTCAATCATGTAAGGAGCCTCCCAGAGAATGCGAAATAGGTCCCTCTCGTACCTGGTACAGAGGTCGATGAATACCACAAGAAATGGAAGCACAATCATCCCTCCGCAGGAAATGATCCATAGGATTGCCTCCGCCTCTGTCGGGTATTGGGCTGAGCTTTTCTTGTCGTATCCCACTGCGACGATGATATGCAGCACTCCCACAACCATAACAAGAATCCCTTCCACTATCACTGCCACTATGCCATACCACTCATTCTTGGTTGAGTAAATGTGTTTGGTGATATCAAAGATTGCCTTTATCATGACTGCGACAAAGTCTGAAGTTGGCTTTTTCGTCGTTATGTAGCGGGGGGATTCCGATGCAGGTTTCTGCTTCTCGGCAAGCGCCGCTTCGCGAGCCTCGTTGGCTTTCTGGACGGAGGCCTTGCTTGAGGCAAGTGCTTGGTCGAGCTTTTCTTGGTCAGTGATATATGGAAATACTCCTTTCACAAATTCTATCACGATTGGCTCAGAGATATCCAGTGGCTTTTTCCACCAGCAGGCGTATATAACTGATGTGCAAACAACCTGTATGATCACGTGTACCTCGAGTAGGGACAATGGCAGGCGACGTTTATCGCCCCAGCGTGCGAACGCTTGCACAATCAACCACAGTGCCTGGAGGAATGCGAACAATTTTGCAATCATGTTCGCTTTGCCTTTGTCGTCCATAGAACGCTTGTCGAAGGAGGCTGGTGTTATACGGCCCTCTTTCACGTACTCGATGAAGCCTTCAGGGGTGAGAATAGTCCAGTAGACCTCCATCGTAGTATCCGGACGTCCCGATATTCCTGTTTCCGCGCGTGAAACAGAAGGGGTCGACGTAGACAAAGGGTTGCTTGTAATTGGAGCTATCTCTTGGATTTCGGACTTCGGTATCTCGATCGCCTTGCTCGGTAGAGAGCCAGCACCGGACAAGAAAGACATTGGACTACCGACCCTTCCTGTCGACGGTACAGGGCGAGGCTCGACAACCTTCCCCTTTGCATCCTTTTCTAATGTCATTCTCTGCACGACGAAACCCCCCATGACGACAAAGAATGCTCCGTACATTCCTAGCTCGTTGCTCTCGTCTATCGCCGTAATCTTTTTCTCCTTGTGCCAGGTCTTCCTCATTTCGTTCCATGCTTTCCGGACCCTATATGCATCATAGAGTTCACCCATCGCGCAAACCATTATACCCGGCGGAAGCACTATCGAAACGAACATGAGCACAGTCTTGTAGAATAGTCGGCAGATCTTTGAAGTTTCCGGCATGATGTTGGGATGGATACTGGTCCAGATACAGAAGATATATGTCGCTGAACAACTAACAAGAATTCCAATGGTGCCGCGGCCTTTTGGTTCCGCGTGCCAAGTAACAATCCCTAGTGCGCCAGCATCGACAGTATTGAGGCCGTCGCCAGCGGGTGGGGTGGCATTTGGGTCCGACTCGGTGCCATCTGAACTACTTTGCGGTATTGGGGACCCGAGGCATATATGAAATACCCCCACAATCATCAACATGAGTACCAGGGATAGCTGGTACGAAGTAGGGAGACCCATTGCGGAGAGTTCAGAGATATATTGTGCAATACGGCAGGCTTCTAAATCCCCACCGCCACTCGTACTGATTAGCCCCCAAATTCATGTCCATACCTGCGGGGGTCTCAAGTACCGTCAATGATTATTGAAGCTTTGGCAAGTGTTTGAGAACTCTCCACCCGTTTTCTAACAGCTATTCCTACACCTGACATTAGCATGGGATCGACATGGAGGTGGATTCGAGCAGTCACAGGGAGATCCAGCACGGTCTTCCCCTCAAGAGCCAAGGGCAGTAGATACCTACTATCTGATACTGTATTTCCCGTCGGCCTCCAGGCAGCGAAAGCGCAATCGCCTGAGCACACTGGTAGGGCAAAAATCCGTTTGTAAAACACTCTGACTCAAGGATCCGAGATGGCTAAGTGTAGTTGGATAGACCGTGATACTAGAGAGCAACTAGAAGCCGGGAGTGTGGGAACTGCTGGCTGGCATGTTACTATCTTCAGAATCAGTATATGGGAGTGTAGAATGAAGCGACAGTTATATAACGAGCGGGGCCATGGATGCGCCCTTACGGATCTATCGGCAGCTGTGGTAGTGAAAGTGCCCGCCCTACTGGTCTCATTATGCATATCCGAATCTGTATGTACGGCCTGTTTCTGACCCAGATGTGGGTGGGTGACACAGAAACAAAAGAGCGATTACAAACACCATTAGCATAGGTCGATGGATGAATTGTGCTTCTCATGAGGATTGGTGGTGTTTTTTTCTTTTTAGCGAAATACGTACATCAAAAACTTTTCAGAACCTGGCGCTGTGCAGGTCTCACCATCTCGGTCGAGACAGGTATGGAGGCCTGGGAGGTCCACTTGCAGGTACTAATAGAGTACACACACACACCACACACACCGGATTCTAGGCTGCGGGTAGTACTCATTCTTTATTCTAACTTCTCGGGATGAGACGCACATACTCTAGAGTAGAGTACAGTTGTCAAGTGGGTCAAGGTCAGTCACCAGTGAGCACTCGTTCCAGGCGGCGTTGTGTAACGTGACAAGTAAATTCAATCACTGGATCACGGAACCCCCACCCCCCGGCCAAGATCTGCCAAGACTGACCCGGTTATCGAATTCTGACTATCGTAGGAGTCCTGATCGAAGCGAGGAGTGCTGATGTGCATATATACCTGGAAGACTTTGCTCCATACAGTGTGATAGAAAATCTATGTACTCTAGGTACTACACTAGAGGGGGGGACGGGGAGCTTTATTGGCCCATCCAGAAATACAAACCCTGTTCACAGCTGTATCCGCGATCGCCTGGTGGGCCGAAACATGCTCAGAATCTGGTGCTTTGCATATTGTACAAACCTGGCGCTTGCTTTGCTAGATAGGGTAATGCTACAGTTGAGATTTCAACAAGAAACTCCCACAAGCAGTGAGTTTTGGCCCAAGGCTGCACAGCACCAGATTCTGAGCATGTTTCGGCCCACCAGGCGATAGTACCTACATGTCTCCCACTCAACAAGTTACGCGATTCCGACTTGCTGCTGTGTAACAAACCAACTAGGTACCTACTCTACTCTACTCTACTCTACCTCTACTGCTAATATCATAGCGTTTCCGAACACGACTAATATTGCATGACATACAAAAAGGTGGGTTTGGCGCTTTTTTGTATGGTATGCAATAGCAGTCGTGCTCGGAAACGTCATGAGATTAGTAGTACTCTACACTACAGATATGTACATTGCAGCATGCCGCCTAGGTACAGGGGTCAACCAGGGTTATCCAGAGCAGGCATAGCACTGGGCACCCCAGGTATTGTAGAAGGGACAGATTTTCCTCTCTAGATCTAAATATAAAGCTCATGTATACTATCAAAATATATCCCACGATCTTGATCGCGACATTTCTACTATGTATGTCTCTACTATACCGTAGCGTATGATTAAATTCGAGGGTGAAAATGATAATGCTTTGGCCAACACGCTTCTCCGCGTTTAAACTTTGAATAGATTGATGGCTTATTTGCATCCCTATATTTCATTAAGAAACCCAACTCGTGCCAATCAATCTTGAGTTCCACATGATACGGGATGTCTGAGGTTGCACCCTTCTCCAATACCTCCTCGACGTGTCATTTCTTTTTTACTCCTTCTTTTGGCCAGGCCCTGCTCACAGATCCTTGCCTTTACAATAATTCTACCCTAGCTAGCATGAGGGAAATTCACTGCGCACCTTTCAGTGCGCAGACCGGTCAGCACGTACCTTTTAACAATCGAAAGATTAATAAATAGAATAGAGTAGAGTAGAAAGAACACTTGCACGTACACATTACTGGCATGTGCCATGTGTGCCCTCTATAGACTAGAGCACACATACCTACCCACCCTACCAAAATGTGGTCGAGACCTGCACGCATAGATAAATGTTTCATATTTTTGAAAAATATAATGAATAGTTTGCTGCAAAACATCTGGTTTGCAGCTCATTGGCGTACCCTTTACCACCTGTTGCACCCGTGGCCATGGGATCAGATCAATGTAACCGATGAGGATTATGGATTATTTTCTGACAACTAGAAGTTTTATCAATTCAACCAGAGGCAGTTTAGGGTATTAAATTGAGGCTCTTCCGAAGCTCATTGTCGACTCACCCAATTGGACCCATACCATCTAGCCCTGTCGACAAAACGTGGGAAAAGCAGTGATACCGCCGCTTTCGTACTTAACCGGCACAGTCATTCACAGGGTGAGGACGAACACTGGGTGAAGACGAACCAGGGTTCTCAATATGGCAAGAAACAGCCAAGCTGCCCAAGTGATCTTTCTATCTGTCCAAAAATCCTTGTTCGTCTATACCCAGTGTTCGTCCTCACCCTGTGAACGACTGTACATGTTGGTCCTAGACAGTGACAGTGACAGTGAAAGCGTCGTTCTGCGCGTTTAGTATCCAGCCTTTTACCTATTATCTAGTAAGCACTGTATGTAATCGAGACTGTCTGTTGCACAGTCGAAGCATGGAGGCATTGGCCTAGGCATGCATCATTCAGGGTTCAGGTACTACACAGTTGAACCTTTCCTCTTGGAGACGTCTTTACCCGATGGGACTCTCTGGCGGAAATAAATAGAGATCACGATTTCCGAAGGATGCCGCAGAACAGGGCGCCGCAGACGCCGACATTGCCGCCACCGCCTGCAGGAATGTAGTTCGTAGCATGGGGTGAATACGTTCAAGGTTTCCCAGCCTAGGTATTGTGATGGAGAAATCATGCCGTATATGTGTCACGATTGGTGGAGTATACAGCGGGGGGGAAATTATTGTAGAAGTATGGGGAGTCCCATTGGCCGAGTCATCCACTTAAACCCTGTTTTTAGACCCCTGTTTCTACAACAATTTTCCCCCCCGTAGGTGCTCTAAGTGCTGCACCAATTGCAGTCCGTGGCATGATCTACCGGAACATCTTTTGGGTGGAATATATACTCGCGACCAGCAACAAGAACCCGAAAATGCACGTCCTAATCTGCAACTTCCATTGGAGTAGAAGTCAAAAATACACCAAAGACTTGCAGCTGCATATTCGGGTTCTTATTGCTGGTCGCGAGTAAGCTTCCTTCTTTCATTAACCTGCAGACACCTTGTCTTTTTTTTTTGCCCTTTGACCATGTCGCTCAGTTATTTTGCCTCGTGGTTTGGTTTTATCCAGCCCACCAGCACAAGATACAAGTGCGTGAACAAGAATAAGTATAAAGCATCTATCCCTTGTCCACATATGATGCCTGCTATTAGGTATCCTGGACAAAGATCACAGGTGCCAGACGAACCCAAGTATTTACCTACATAGGACCCCCTATCCAGCTAAGTATCATACATACCACCCTCACACGCTGAAAACCTTAAGCACCTTAGCGAAAAACGAGACGGCCTTGTCGATATACACCCCATGCCAACACAGAACATCATGCTCACCTTTCTTCCCGCTATTGTACCGAGTTTTTGAAATCTCCTCCAAGTTTTACGTTGCAACCACGTTACACAGGCAGAAAAGTCTTTAACTATTAGGCTTCACAGCCCAAAATATCTCCCCCCTCTATTACCATGAGTACCAACCCCGCCCCCCTCCTGGCAGGCCACCCCCTTCCAGAGTACCTCCAAGCAAACGCAGCCTTCGCTGCCCCCCTGCTTCACATAGTGGACAGGCATAAACTCCTCAACAAAATGGGCCTAGAGGAAAAGTCACCCGCTACAGATGACCTCCTACAGCACATCGCCTCCACCTTCCTCGCTCAAAACCCCTCTTTAAACCCAGCCAAGGCCATCATCAGCCTCCTCCTCGGCCTCTCAACCCAAGTCGAGAAACTCACCACAGAAGTCCACACCCTAGCTGCGAGACATGCCGCCGACGTCACCCGCCTCAACGCGCGCATCAACAACCACATTCCAGCCCCTGCCCCACAGGCCCGCCGTCCCCCCCAAAGGCAACCTACCCATCAACCCCGCCAGCCCCTCGCCCCGCCCCGGCCGTCCCCCTCCCTCAGGCCCCCCCGATCGAAGGAGCGGAGCTTCACCTCAATGATCCCCTCGAAACCATCGACTAAAATGGCAACAGACAACTCCTTACCTATGCCAAAAAACTTAAACAACGCCAGGACAACTCCCGCCCCGCCGCCCCCTTCCCCGCTACCCAGAATGCAGGCCCCCGCAGACCCGCAGCTCCCCAACCAGCATCAAACCTCCCCACCACCCAACGCCGGTTCTTCGCAACCAGATCCAACCCCGCACCCTTCCTGAACCACCAACAACTTGAGGCAAGACTCCCCTCCGATCTCGGTAGAGTCCTAGCCAATATAGGCCTCACACACCCCCACACAGCCCTCCAGGTCCAGGTTAACCGCAACGGCACTGTCACTTGCACTGCCTCCCCCTCCACCCCCGCCAAGGACATCGCCCCCTACTTCTCGGTCTCCTCGCAGTCCTGAACCTCGCCTGCAATGCAACCGAAAACCCGCTCAACAACTTTCAACTCGCACCCACCAACGTCGACTATGCCATCCACAACGTCCCCATCTTCGCCCTCGACGTCCCAGAATCCATCTTCACCCCCCACCTCGCCGAAGCCGTCGCCCTCACCACCGGAGCCGCTGTCGCCAGAGCCCGATACCTCACCAAACCCGAGAATAGAATCAGGAAAACCACTACCTCAATCGTCATCTCCGTCCCTGCCGAAGACACCGACAAGATCGGAGACCAAATTCGCCTATTCGGACGCTCTCGCCGGTGTAACAAACTTTGGCTAGCGTCCCCTAACACCCTCTGCCGCAAGTGCGCCTGCCTAGGACAAGCAACAGAAGGATGCCAATCATCCTCACCCACATGCCCGCTCTGCGCAGGCAACCACCTCCGCAAAGACCACCGCTGCCCTAACCAAGCCTGCCCTAGAGAAGGCCACCTCAAACTCATTATCGATTGCTGCGCTACCTGGAAAGCCAAATGCATCAACTGTTCTGGCAACCACACCACCTCTGACAGAGAGTGCCCCGCCAGGCGCACCCGCACCCATACCGCTGCCACAGCGCCTGCCCCCCAAGGCACCACACCTGCCCTCCAGACACCCCAGACAACCTCCCAACGATCAACCTGTCCCAACCCACCAACCCTCAGTCCGCATCAGTACCCGCACCCCAACAAGAAGGGCCTGCGGAAGAGGACTTGACCATGTCGCAGTAATGCCGGCACGATCCTCCTCCCTCCCCTCTTCCCCCCCCCTTTCAACCACCCATCGATCAGACATATCCAGCGGAGATCCTTCCAGCAATCCCTTTACAATAATCCAACTAAACTGTGCAAAAAGCAACGCAGTCTTCCTTTCACTCTTTTTTTCCTTTTCCAAGCAACGCCCCCCCCAAATTGTGGCAGTACAAGAGCCCTTCACCATCCTCAACCACCCCCTAAACGCGCCAGGCTACGAATGCGTATTCCCTCCAACAATAGAGGACGAACCGGTATCGGTCGCCTTCTACATACATCTAGACTTCCTCCAGCATACCTCCTACTTCCCAATCAACTTCGATAGAGGCGGTATCTTCGGCATAGCCATCTACTGGAGAAATTCCGATACTCTCTCTCTTGCAGCACAACTAGAAATAGTGAATGCCTATAATCGACACATCTCACCCAGGAGAAGATCAATCCTCCCGGAGACGATATTCCGCAACACCAGAAACCCCTCCATCATCTGCGGAGACCTTAACATACACAACATCCGCACCGATCCCCAACGCACCATAAACAGAAGAGAGGAGTCACTCTCCTCCCCTTACTTCTCCACAGCCGCAGCCAATGGCTACTCCCTGCTCAATATTCCCGGCAGGATCACCCGAATCTCCCCCAACCCACTCCAAAGATATAGGGTCATTGACCTAGCCTTCGCAAACCCCCCGCCCTCAACCTCTTCCACTCATGGTCCAACAGGCTCCCTAATGCAGGCTCCGACCACACCCCAATCAAACTACGATTTACCCTCTCTCCCGGCATGACCTCCCTCACCACACACACCCCGACTGGAAAAAGGCCCCCTGGCCCGCAATTGTAACGGGGACTATGGACGTAGGGACTATGGTGCCAAGGAATACAACCGAGGTGGATACGTGGCAATAGGTATTCAAGACTATGGGCTATGGAGTGGCTCTACCTAGTATGACAACTAGTTGAACCCTATGACGAGGCGTAGAACAAAAGTAGTATTCGTGGAGTAGATACAAGAGGTTCCGTGAAGAAAAGAGGAAAGGAAGGAAAACATGAAAAGGCACGAGACAACACCCCCTTATATATCCAACTCCTAGTCCGTTGATGACTAATATCTTGCGTAACGGAAACCGAAAGAACATAACAGAAAACCCATTACAAATCATAGTCCAACTGCGCGATTCCTTCTCTTCACAACCCAATCTATCACCTTAGTCGAAATATAATATTGCCGTTACAGCAATCCAGGAAACCCTCCGCAAAACCTCCCTCCACCCGATCTCATACCCCATCGACCACTGGTTTGGGAATGCGTTAGCCACCATCACCGAACCAGTCCTAGCTGCCATCCCGACCAAAAGGCCGTCCTCATGGTCAAATGCATGGTGGTCCCCCCACCTCTCAAAACTTCGACGGGTCTTTAACTCCGTCGCCAGAGCCTATAGAAAAGGGCTATCGCCCCCCTTCGAATACAAAGCCGCCCGCAATGCATACTTCTCGGCCATCCAAGAAGCCAAGAAGAGACACTGGAATGACTTTATAGCTCAGGCCGACTCACAACAGGTCTGGGCCCTCAGAAAAACCACGACCCGGAATAAGGAGACTAAGCTCCCCAAATTCCCAAACGCCTCCTCCCCAACCGAGGTCAAACAAGCCCTCATATCCCATTTCTTCCCCCCCCAACCAAACCCCACCCCAGCTCCCCAACCCGGCTTCTTCCCCGACACTCCAGAAGTAACAGCCATGGAAGTTGCCAAAGCGCTAGCCGCCTCTTCAAACAACTCAGCACCAGGCCCGGACACATTCCCTCCCATAGCCTAGAAAAGAATCCACCAAGGAAACCCATCCCTCATCCCCCAACTCCTCACCCCTCTCCTCAGAAGCAGATATCACCCGATAGCGCTCAAGAGTGCCCTCGGGGTCATCCTCCCCAAGCCCAACAAGCCAGATTACAACTCCCCCGCCGCCTATCGGATCATAGTCCTCCTCGAAACCGTCTCAAAAATCCTCGAGCGGATAGTGACATACCGCCTACATTCCTTCGCCTCCTCATCTCGCCTCATACACCCCCATCAATGCGGTTCAATCAAAGGACTGTCCACAGCAGATGCCGCAACTACTCTCCTACACGAAGTCAGGCTCCTCCAACGCGGAGGCCTGAAGGTCTCCTCCCTCTTCCTGGACGTCAAAGGGGGTTTCGACCACGTCATTCCCTCTGTCCTCGCAGACACCTTTCGCGGCAAGAACACCCCCCCGTACATGGTCCAATGGGTACTCTCGTTCCTATCGGACCGCAAATGCACTCTCCTCTTCCCAGGCGGCCCACGAGCCTCCCTACCAGTAGCCGTCGGAGTACCCCAGGGCTCCCCCATCTCACCCCTACTATTCTGCATATATGTAGCACCACTACACATAGACCCGAACCCCGGCATCACCATCTCATATGTCGACGACTTTGCCTTCACAGTTGCCTCCCCATCCCACCAACAGAACATTGCCCTACTAGAAAATGCCTTCCTCAGAGCAACAGACGCAGGCACCTCACGCAGCATCCACTTCTCCCTCCCCAAAACAGACCTCATGCACTGGCGCACCAGCGCTGATAGAAGCGTACCCTCCTCGCTCCCCATCACACTCAACCGGATCCCCCTCAACCCCAAAAGAGAAATCCGCTGGTTGGGCCTTCAGCTCACCAACAACCTCAACACCTTCAACCACTACTCCAAAAGGTGTGCCTCAGCGCAAGCCTCCTTCGCCATCATAAGGGGATTCGCCTCAGCCAGCAAAGGCCTCACTCCCATCAATTGCCGACGACTAGCAGTCATGGCAATCCTCCCCATGCTCACATATGGCGCCTCCGTCCTCATCTCCACAGCACAAGTACTTAAAAGGCTCGAGACCACCTGGCACTCAGTCCTTAGATGGATCACCAACTGCTTCAGATCAACCCCACTCTCTATACTACAAGCCGAGACATCTTTCCCTCCGCTCGCCCTCTACATCCCCTCCCTACGTATCAGATACGCTGCGAGAATCCAAGCCACATCCCCCGCATACAACCCAGTCACCGCACGCACTCCAGACTCATTCCACACACTCTCCACCTACAGAGAGACCACTCACCGGCACCTTCTAAGAGGCCGCCCAAACCCCGCCGTCAACTGGAACTCGACCAGGAAAGGGGTAGCCCGCCTCCCCATAGACGACCTCTGCCACACACTTCTCACCAACTCTCCCACCTTCTCCCGGAACCATAACACTATCTACCCAGGCCTGGCGCTCTCTATTAAAAGAGACACCCTGCAAATCTGGAGGAATAACCCCCTCCCAGACTACTATAAATTCACAATCAATACATGCCCACACCCCCCCCCCCGATCCCTCTTGTGTTTGACAACACCCTTCTCAACGCCACCAAGACTTGATGAAGTGCGGGGTCACTACACAATCATAGACTTTGCTTTGGCTTCATTTAGCCAAAGCAAGTCCCAACTATACAAACTCGACCTCTCCTTCACTGGAGATGGTCAAAACCTTTTCAAACTCGGTCTCCTCTCTGCCTATGAGGCCAAAACCTTCTCCTCCTCTCTCTTCCCTTGGGGGACTGCCTCCTTCTTCGGGCCCTATGGGTCCTCCTGGCCGTCCCCTCTTTGGGCAGAGACCTCTCTCCGCTCCTCCTCCTCTTCACCACCACTACACTTCTTGACACCGGTTCATCCCCACGGGGAGGATCTCCCTTTCGATATTACACTGCATTCGATCGCGGACCCAGACTTATCTCGGGCGGTACGGCGATTTTTAGCCAATTGGTTACTCTCTTCACTCAAATTTTTCTTTTTTTTTCTCTCTTTTGTCGACTTGTAGTAGTCAGGGGGGGGTTTTCTTATCGTCTACCTTGTAAGAGGATGTGCGGTTGGTAGCATACCACAGTTACTATAACGGGAAGATCGGGCGGGTATAGGGGATAGGTAGAGTTCACACCATAGGTTTATACCTCCATGCGATATTCATGTATCTAGAATCAATTGAAACTATGATCTAAAAAAAAAAAAAAAAACACGCCCATACCCCCACCTCAAACTCGACCGCTTCATCGCAGGACGCATATGTCAAATGCGCGACCATAAGAGCTATCTAGCGGCCCACCCAACTTGAATGAACCAGGACTTCCCCCCGACATGCCCCAGATGTCTCCTCGAAGACGAAGACCTCGAACATGCCATCCTACGCGGCCCCGAGCGCAGCGCCCAGAGGGCAACCTACATACCCTTTGCAAAATCTCTCGACGACCTCTGGTCACCCCCCACCTCACTAGCAGCCCTCTCTTCATACATAAGGGACACCAAAACCGGGTACCCCCCACAAGTGGGCCCACCCATGTCGCCACCCTATGACCTATCCTCAGACTTCGACCTCACCTCACTCTCATCAAGCTCGGCCTAGACGACCCTCATCCACACCAGGCCCAAGAAACTGGCCACAATAAAACGCCGCAACCTCAACACCTAAAGTGTCCTCTCTGCTCTCCCTTGTTCTCTTCTCTCCTATGTCCTGTCATAAATTACGTAGCTGGTACGAAAGTATACCACCCCAGACGGGGACGTCCGAATTTCTTAGTTTGCTGGCCACTAGGAGGAATGTCAGGGTCTCTTCTCAGCGTCTGCTTCATGTACACTCTTCCATATATCTCTTTTGTCTTGTTCTCTTCGGCGGTTTGGTAGGGGAGTGGTGTTGTTCACGCCATAGCTTAGGCTCCAAGTGATATTCTTGTCCCCAGAAATAAATGAAACAATGATTTAAAAAAAAAAAAAAACAGAACATCATGCTACTCCCCTTTGGGTTCTGTATTTACATCTAGTCAGTCATATCTGGCTGGAAAGGGTGAGGGGGTGGTCTAACGTACTAGCCAAAGTGGGTTAGCGGGGACACGACCAGCTTAACGTGCAGAAAGGCTTCGAAACCTAGACACCGGTCGAGACATAGCCAATGCCCTTACGGCGGGGAAAAGAATTTACGCGCTGAGGAACGAATCTGAGGAGCTGTTTTCTTGCCAAGGATTATTCGTGTTCAGGATCTCCTTTAATTACACGCGTACGTAGGTACACATTATATTAGCGTTTTGAGAATGTTAGAGGGTAGCTAGTTCTCTGAAATCTATGAACATTGGGGGAAGGAGCAGAAAGCTTGAGGATCACTGAAGCAGTCTTTGGCCTCTTTTAAAGATACTGACAATTAATTAAGGTACCGGGGGATCTGCTGTGTAAACTAAAGCAATGTAATGGTGGCATTTTTTGCGGCTTCCACAAATTAAAAAGAAAATGTTCCCTGAAGTTGACGCCTCCCCGCCCCCCAAGGCATCCTCCGCAATATCTACTCGCGACCAGCAACAAGAACCCGAATATGCAGCTGCAAGTCTTTGGTGTATTTTTGACTTCTACTCCAATGGAAGTTGCAGATTAGGACGTGCATTTTCGGGTTCTTGTTGCTGGTCGCGAGTAGAGGGTAGGCTAGGTATGCACAGCATCCTATTACATTCAATTTGGACAATCGCGTACTCCACCTTTTTGATGGATGACTTTTCCAATTGCCGGTGTTGTATTATCCTGATATTTCATTTCCTTATCTCTTTCCTTATCGATATGACCCTCTGACAGCTACCTTCAGATGGGGCTCAAAACCATAGACAAACTAAACCCCTTGCTTTCGAGGAAGAATACTACATATGTATGATTAGTCCGCTGATCCATGCCCGCCATCCGCGGAGGCTCCCCGCGCTTGCGTCGGCGACCAGCGGATACCCACTAGCTCAGTATACGTGCTGTAGTTACATACGTATTGTACAAGCGTCCACGCCACTCAATACTAGTCAGATTTGGGGCTTTGGGATAATGACTATGGCCAGTCAGTCATAAGTGAGGTAGTCCCAGGTGTGTTAGGTACAGTATTGTATTTCATGCCCTGAGCAGGAGATGTTACGCAAGGCTTTCCGTTCAAGTACTACCCCATTATTTTGTTCGTGAATTTCAGGCGCCATTGCCGAGCATCCCGGGGTGGGGTAGAAGAGAATCGTGGGTAATCGACTACGCCTACCTTTTGAACTACAATATTTTGTTGGCACTCCATTACAGAAATGTCAGTAGGAGGGGGCAGTGCACAAGGTACGGTGTCGGACAGCCAAAACCGGCCAGAGCAACCACCGACTCCCCTTCACCCCATCGACTTTCAACAACGCAACACTTGTCCAGAAATAATGTTCTTTTGTTAAATGGGTCTAATCATGGTTTTAAACATCCCCATAAAAGGGGATTTAAAATAAGTAATAACTGGCTGCACTATGACCTCTCAAACATTTGGTGCAATCTGCCCGAAAAAAACATAGGTGTGAAATAATAACTTTAATAGCTTTATGCCAAGGCGGCCACATTAATTTAGGATAATTCTTACTATATTGGGATAATTAAATGATCATTATTACCTGATTAGGACTAGTTTCTGGCTTGAAAAGAACATGAGGGTTGATTTTGACTGTCCGGCGCTGTACCTGAAAGTACTCGGCGATTAACGCTGGTTTTAGTGATAGGTCAATATGATAATATGATATGTACCGCGTGAGCAGGGGTATGCTCTCCACCCCGGCAAAATCATAAAAGCACAGGTCAAGTACAGCGAGAGGTAAAATTATTGTAGAAACAGGGGTCTAAGAACAGGGTTTCTGTGGCTGGCAAGCCAATAGGACTCCTCCCATATTTCTACAATAATCTTACCACAAGTTGTACATATGACATTGAGGTTCGGGCCGATCCATGGATATAGGAGTTGATGCATTGGACCGGATAAGAGTATGTATATCCACCTATTACTCCACCCATTTCACTGCTCTCGGTCAGGGGGCGTCTGGACTGGATCAGATCACGACGTACCCATATGTACTCTCTACGTGCGCTACGATAGATATCTATAGAGTATATATACTCCAGAGTAGAGTAGTGCTGGGGTGCCGATAACCAAGTTCGTAGGTAGAGTACATACTCTACATACTCTACCATGCCCGGTACATCAGGTACCCTATGTCCATGCAGCAATTTTCACCGCATTTCGAGCCGCTTGTCTATAGAGCCTTGGCGAAACCAATAGAACAAGAGACTCTAGAGTACCTATCTTCATGCATGTTTCGGAGTTGACCTTCAAGCGCAGATTGCTAGTATAGAATAGGCGATGCATGAACAACCGGCCCTCAGTAACTCAATCAAATATGGGTGAGTAACTATCGTAATTTACTAGAATTACCGTACCAACCATATGCTAGAATGCTAGAATGGTGCCTAGTGTTCTTTCTGTCTAATGCTCTCACTGTCTACTCTAGAGTAGGTACATAACCTTCCTCAGTGCTAGTGTGCTTGCTATGATCTAGTGGAGACTTTTCAAGCGTGTCTTGGCGCCAAGTGATTGACAGGTACCAACAGTTGCCCTCACTCCCAAACGTTTTGTTAACTCTCGGTGAGTGATTTAGATTAGAGCCCGCGCTCACAACGGGATGGCGGTGGATCTTAACCTGGGAACCGTTATGTAACTCATAAACATTGGCATTGTCAAGCTGCTGGCCGGTGAGCTCACTATTGGTCACAAATTTGATAGGTGCAGGGTGTGTGTTGTAGAGTAGAGTAACTTACCTAAGTAGAGAATGAGGCTAAGAAGTAGTTTACAGATAAGCGAGAAATCACGTATGTATGATGTAGGCTAGTGAGGTGGTCACAGCATGCGATATGCTATTCCAGAAATAATGAAATTGATTTAAAAAAATGAAAAGAAAAGAGGTGGTCACAGCAGAGTATTAGAGTAGTTATTACGAGGGGCGTTTCGTCTCTGGATCATCATTAACCACTTCAATAGGTCACTCCGAGTATGTGTATGTCTCACATGTTAAGGTACTGTCTCGCAAGTTAAGGTATATAAGATAAATTGGGATGTCATATCTCATAAACCAACCGATATGCATGTGACCTACTACCTATGCCATACACTCGATTTGTAAAGGTACGATGGATGGTGCAAATTGATGCCCTCATTCTTGCGAATTGCCCTAAAGATTTGTGCCCTTGTAAGTGCATCACAGTGATCACATATTGGCGACTTTGCTTGTTCGTGTGGGTCGCCTAGAGTAGATCAAAAGAGTGGAAATCTATTTAAAATTCCCGCTAGCTAGGGAGACATACCCGTAAATTCATGACCTTTCCGGACACGACTGCTATTGCATACCATACAAAAAAGCGCCAAATCCACCTTTTTGTATGTCATGCAATATTGGTCGTGTTCGGAAGCGCTATGAAACTACGAGTAAACCATAGAGTGCACGATAGGATTGATATCGAATCTACGCGCCAAGTCGCAAGAGGCCTATTTTTTTTTTTTTTTTTTTTTTTTTATATCATATGAATTGATTCTAGGTACAATAACTGCATGCAGGCATAGCCTAAGGCATAAAAACCTATCCCCAATGCCAGTTCCCCTTGTTATAGTAGTTATGGTATACTACCAACCGCACTCCTCTTACAAGCTTGATGACTAAGAGAACCCCCGCCCAAGAAAAAAATAGAAAAATTCCGGATAACACAAAAGAAAGACATATTGCCGGGCCAAAAAAAAGCTTAATGCGTTCTCAAATCCCCAACTGTGATGGAGGGGGGGTAAAAAGGTGTTCCCCTGAGAAAATTCAGGAGGGAGGAGGATGATGCTGGTGGTCTTTGGGGGGTGACCTTCGAGCTCGATATCCCAGAGGAAAGGTTCCTATGGAGGGAGTAGGAGGAGGAGGTTTTGACTTGCCTTGGCAAATGAAGCCAAAGCAAAGTCTGTAGTGAGGAGTGACCCCGCACTTCACGAACTCTTGGCGGAGTTGCGAAGGGGCTTGTCAAGGGCAGGAGGGATGGTCGCAAGAGGCCTACTGAGCTTAATACTTAGCATAATTTAATCCCACCCTTTGTTTATCCTATCAGCTACAGAAATTCCGTAGAGGCATAGTCCAGCGTATTCCCGAATGATAATTGCATGGCAGCTGGACTTGAAGCCCGTTACGGAAATCATTCAGATATTGGCCGCCATACAGCAGTCTATGGATTAGAACTAAATTTGTGTATGATACTCTATATATGACCGCATATGAACTTTAAAAAAGTGCCAGCAAGCCTAAACAACAGCCACAGAAGAAGCGAATGTCAGGCGGAATGAAACCTTCTCCTGGGGCTGAAAGTTATGGGACAAGAGTAGGTACTTGATATGTATTGGGAGTTAAATAAGTGCAAGCACGGGGCCTTTGATGGATACCAAGAGCCTAGTGAGCCAATTGAAATAATTTATGTGGCTTAGTCTATGCAGTATACTAGGCCAAAACTTGAATATTCTTATTTAGACGACCATCTGTGGTGGATTGGCGCCATATTGCACTTTACAAGAAATGGAAATCCTCATCCTGCATCCAAGTGCAGATTCTCTACCAGTCAATGAATGAGTTTGGGACGACGGGTTTCGGGAGGTTCGGCTGCACTCACATCGTAAAGTACTATGACTATTGAAATGTTTTAGATGGTGGAGTTACCCCATATACAGATGTGGAAGTGCTATTTACTCGGCTATGCAGGGCTCATCTGTTGATGTGCGTATGTACCTAGATCTCAGCCATTTTAGCCAAGAGATTCATCTCTGCTGAAAGACAGCGTTACGATACGTTGTATAAGTCACCCGAGACAACACACAAGAACCAGGTTAGGTTACTTTGAGGTTATTCTAATCATCGTATATCACTCGTATACTCATTGGCTTGTTACTAACTATACCTCCGCCGTTATCAGATCATATATGGGTCTTCAAAGCATGGAAGATTATAACACACTAAGAAGCAGTGGAAGACCTGGCTGAGCACCCTAACAAAGTTTCTTGATTGGCCGCTTGGGGCCGGGGAGCGGGTGGTGAAAGTGAAGGTAGTAATAATACCAATCAGCCAACCTCAACATCTCATGTAACTCCCACATGATGAAATGACGCAAGTAGATATATATGGCTATATCAACTGAAAGCAAATGCAATTTCTTATAACCACTCAGAGACTTCAATGTTAAATAATTGTAGCATAAAACCGACCTGGTGAACGGTAAAGGCACAAGTAAGTACTAAATTCACTTTGTGCGCATATATTATATATAGTGTAGAAGGCACATGTGCAGGAGTGTACATCATGCTGGAAACTCGCGCTAAGTTCAACAGCCTCTAGATCTGAGGTAGACGTAACAAAAAAAGAAAAGGTTGGTGTACGTGATATATATGCCTAAAATAAAACGGACAACGATCGTATCCGTTTTTGAACCAAAGGGCCCAATGGAACAAAATTTAGATTTTCAGGCAATAGTCCATTCCCACCCAATATTAATCATGTAAATAAAAGGCGATGAAGATTTAGGCTGTGTTTCACTGAATTTCATTTGTTTATCACAGGCTTAATTGATAGAAGACACAGCTTAGGACGATTATTCACCTCAGAGTCGAGAGCGAAGGTAGCCGGCGAGACACCCTCGAGATATAATATGGTGGAGAAGATGAAAGCTTTGACCGAGCTAATATGTTGTAAGCAATCTGTTTAGGCAATAGTTGGCATCGCATCTTTAATTATCACTCGATGGTCCCAGGTCTTCTGGCCTTTTTTTCTTCTTTCATTTTTTCTTTGTTTAATTCATTAATTACATAAGTCTTGTAGCTTCAAGTACTGCCTTTTTTTTCTTTCTTTTTTGCTTAACTCATTAATTGCGTACAATCTTTCAGTCTGCTTTTATCACCGCTGGTAACGTTTACGGTATGACGCCTCGGCATCTTCGAATATTCAAGACCGCTAATTCAATTTTAATTGTGTATGCTTCAGCTTTAATATGCTGATAGTTCAATAAAACTCTCTTAATTTAACTGATGTTATATGAGCTAGAAGCTAGCTTCCACCACACGCTTGCTTTCTTACAGAAATTAAAAAAGACCTCGTGGCGGCCTATATAGTGATGCACACAACACAAAACAAGCCGAGACTTCCCTGGATCTCGTCTCGTCTTGCCTCTGGAAAGACAGGGTCTTGTGGCTAAGGAGACCTAGGGTAGGTCTCGCGCAAAGTCCCGAGACCACAGCTCCATCTCTAGAAATTAGTAACAAGGCCTTGTATTATACAGGATTAAAACCAAAAACTAGGGTTAGGGCTTGGACGGATTCTTGCGTTTGTACAAAACGTATCAATTTAGGTATCAGCTGGGAAATGCTCCATTTTTCAACATTTTACGTTGTTTCGGGACGTCTCGACACTGCCTGAATGAGTCTCGAGACTAATTGTCTTGCCCAACTACAGGTCTCGTCTTCTCTCGTATCGTCTAAGAAAACAAAGTCTCGAGACCTTTTGTATCGTGTGCATCACTAGGCCTATACATACACGCTAGAGGACCCGTAATGAACCATAATCTGAACATTGGTTTCTATGTAGTTTAGCCCAATTACATATACCTCGAGGTAGCACAGGATATACCATTTCACAAGGCCAATACACCTTGATACATGGTATATTCCTGGGCTCTAGTTGACTTAAGTCAACTACATGTAAATATATACTTTTTCAGTCGCTAGAAGAGAGATAGTATGTGATATACATCCAGTGTGATCGAACCAGATCAGAACTATTGAAAACCCACTAGTACTGCTCTGTCCCATTGAGATAGCCGCACTGACCACATAATGTTTGGATATATAGTACATACTATCCGAATATTATTCACCATAACGGATATCTCTATCAACAAGGATATTATTGTGTCAAAAATATATATATATATATATATATATAAAGAAAGAAAGAGGTTTTTGCAAATATGTCCGTCGAAATTCCTGATCAAGTCGGTAATATGGTATTCCTCACAACGGACAATACATGTATATACAAATTACACTGTGGACAGTGTCAACTATCTGAATGGAATATTCGGTTCAGATTAGTTCGTATAGAGGACTATCCGGATGTTATCTGGATAGGGCGGCTATCTCGCTCGGACAGAACAGTACTGCCAAGACGTACCTCGAAGAGCATAGAGACAGGTATTTGGCTCGAGGCAACCCAAAGCAGATCCCCTCAGAGGGAGAGGCAACTTGATACAGTCCGTCTTGCTCGCCTTGTCGCGCTTTGTGGACCACGCTGGTCGAGACTGATAAATGTTGCACTATCTAGACTGAGGGTTAGGGTTTTAGCTGGCATCTTACGGTATCACTCGCACATACATATCGTTTGTTTCTCTTTTTTAGACCGCAGAGGCATGGTAAAGTATGATGTTGACATTGTCGAATTGGCAACTGCTCAACCGCGTGTATCAATCACCAATAGTGGGTGGGGGGGGAGGTAAGACAACCATTGGCCCCAGTCGCAGCGTAAGCCCTTTTAATATGTACCAAATTCAGCCGGCAGATTCGAAAGCACTTTTCAGTTCATGAGTTGGCATTTTCAACACATACTAAACTGGGGACGTTATGATAGGATTTCAAGAACAAAAGAGCATATATTGTAGCATATAACTAACACTGTTACAAACTCCTTCCACCTTCCTCACATACAAGCCAACCCCCACCGCCTCCTAACTAAGATATAGACCAACCATGTCTTTTATATATCTAAACCCAGCAGTAAGCAGCTTCGACGCCCAATGATTTGCAGCAAGTCTCAAAAGCACCGCTATCAATCCCATTTGCGGGGTTCGCGCACTAGATGCTCTTCATCAGCCAGACTCCCCAAAAGATTGAGAATCATCATATGTTACCTGATTGTTCGGTCCGGGGAAGTACGTCAAGGGGTTACTCTGCCTGCTACAGCAAGTCCTAGTGGCTTCGTTGAACTGGCCGCGGGAGTCTTGGCATTTACAGTTCATTCCTGCGAGGGCGCTGCCGAGTGGGTTAGTTGTTGCGAAGAAACTAGTGCTAGGAAATACAGGGAATTCTTACGAGCCGAGGAAAAGGGTAGGGAGAAGGATGAGGGTACTGAAGGAAACCATGGTTATTGTAGTAGGTGATTAGTTTGTTTGAAGGATTAAAGCGTCGAGAAGGGTATGAAGATTGAGTTTACTTGTTGTACTGCTGGAGGAGATAGAGTGCGGTGGAATGAATTGAAAATCGAGAGGGAATGCGGGAGTTTAAATACATATGAGATTTGGATGAAAGCCTATAGAGGATGTGATGGGGGTGTTCTGCCATCAGAAATTAACAGTTACGGTACATACAAGGAATTATTGGTAGGAGAGGATGATATGCATAGAATTACTGTTTATGTTCTTATTACGATCTGCTACATTAACTCCTCTATTCGTAAATGAGGAGTGGAGAGGTTCCCAGTATATCTCCGGATACGAATCATGAATTTCACTCATTCGCAATATCCATGTACTACAGGTATCGTTCGATCCGGACGTGCCGTCGCTGCGCCGCAGACATTGCGCCGTGAATGGTCTCTAGCAGGGTACTGTGCCGAAACGACGTGCCTTCTGCACAATGGATACCGAGTAACGCGTATATGCTGTTGGTAGAAGCATCTGACTGCGTTTGAGGTCGTTGAAACTGCACATTATAGGAGCTTCAAGACTGAGTAGACGTGAAGACAGGCTAGGACTCGGTCGGATAAAGTAGATTACTGTTCTGTGCTATAGTAGTCTATAAGTTCACTGGTAAATGGATCATAATTAAATCAAATGTGCACATGTGGCGGAGTGAACAGTGATGACCAATCAATGAGAAACCATAAGCTTCCCTATGACAAGGAAAGTGCACAATTCTGTAAAAGGATTGATAATACCGCAATATTATAGGCCAATACTTGAGTAGCGTTTAATTACCAAATACAGAGGTGTTGAAAACCCTTAGGTGTGCTGATGAGCTGTATATATGTATTGCCAAATACAGTAGTACACTTTGAGCCGTTTTAATTAAAGCACGGATATCGAATATCCAATATTTTTGCAATCAACAAATCTTTGGATGAGGGATAGGGTATACGCACTTCTCTCAAAGACCGTAATAAACATTATCATATCACGAAGCAAGAAGTTCTATGTACACCGAAGGACCTCTCATGATATCTAATTTAACAGCTGTCTAGCTAGCGACCTGCGATATGTCGATTGCTAGGCTCTTGCCGGCTATTCCACGGACCTCACACCCTGTTTCCAAGAGAGCTATGAGGAAGTTCAGTATGTTCACAGTTTATTCATCAAACCCTTGTTCAAATGAAGCTGGCTGAGCACCATATATCTGCATGTCATGTGATCTGCAGATCCGGCGATCTTATTAGTCTAGGAGGAATAAGTTCCCAAGAAGTGGGGCCTAGCTCTTCTCCGCGTCCGAATTCGGTATCCTGTTGTGTTTACTAAGTATCTACCGGAGTAATGCTCAAGATGTAATCATGTATTTGGCTCAAAAACTAATCGCGGCAAGGTCAGAGTAGGGTTGAAGCGATGACTAAAATCATGACAAAGTTATTCCCAAGGATCTATCCCTGAGACACATGTGCTATGCCGGTAGGGGCGAGTGCATATTGACAGTGGATGTGCTTGCTTACACTGCTATTATGTGCGCTGCTGCAGCGCTGACAAAGGTGGTTGCTACTGGTTAACGCAAAAGTCGGCTTGGCACGGCTAAGAAAACCAGAACTACCGTCAACCAACTACATGTAATATTATATTCAATCTTTGTGGGATCTCGATTTTGAATCGTGAGACTCGCTACATTTACTCGCACGTAATGTTCAAGAGGAAAACAGCCAATGAGTAATGGGCGAAGTGAAAGAAGAAGCATCAGTTGCCAATCTGATTTCTAGACTGCTTCCACTGATGGCTAGACTCTTATATTCCAGGTGGGACTTGCTATTCAGGAAAAGCTGAGTCGCCTTTCCTCCAAGAACTGAACTTAGTGAGTTTGCCAGTGGAAAATCCACACAATTTTCACGAGGACATGTACATCTAGATAGCCGCTGAAGAAATCCCCGATTGACAACCTAGGAATTTCAGTATACTCTCCCTCTTAGCAGAGTAGTACTAGTGTCTGCACTAGTGCCAACTGACTTGATCGAGTGCACTAAAATTTTAACCTTAGCATAAAACCTTATGTACCTGCATTAGCCCTCAGCTGTATAGCCTGTGTCTAAATCTCCCGTCGTTTACAGACAGGGGTTGTGAGAGAAGATCGCCGTTCCGCGCCGGACCGAGACGGATGCACGCTCAGGTTGGCATGTCTTGTAGCAGGGTTAGGGTTGCATCAACGCCTTGGCGTTATAGACTCAAAACACGTCCCGGTTAGTAAGTTTGAATAATAAGGATAAGGCCTATGTAGGGTGCACGTTAAACGTTGAGTGCATTGATTGATTTGGTTGACTCTGTCAAGGCATGCATATAACCACTCACTCTTGTCTTGGGCGAGGCTTAGACTCAAGATTTCAATCAAGAAAAGTATTCGCGTGTCTTCACTGAAAAATGTAAAAGAATAATCATAGAGTAGCGCTCGCTCTTGGCTTCAACTGAATAGCAATTCCCCGCCTTCGAGCAGATTTATGACGGAGCTGGACGGAAGGATCGAGACCAGGAGTGGAAGATACATGTAGTTAGATTGCGGTCCTCGAGGTTGTGTAAATAACCCGAAAAGGGGGGCTCTTCAGGCTTCCCGTACACGTGGACACACTGTATATCTGACTTGGTTTATTTCCATATTAAATTTGTTTCTTTGTCGATCCGGGTGAGGGATGAGTGGAAGAGTTTATATAACTCTACCCACCATGGTGTTTCGTATCTCCGACCCAAGAACTAGAATGTCAAAGCCGAACACTAAAAAAGAGTTTTAAAACCTTCTTTAAAGAGCTATATCTGTACGCAAAGTTTACACACTAAGGTCTTTCATGGGCGAGTTATGCATGTAGTAATTCATTAATCAATCCCTCTCTCATCCATATTACTATGGAAATGCAGAATTCCTGGTGAATCGTCTACCGTAGTAGGGCAGCTACACTAACACGAAAGCAATTGCATGATTAAGGTTATCGAAACAACTATTTGTTTGGATCTTCATGATAATGATCGTAAGATGCGCTTTTGCTGACATAATTCTGGGCGGACAATATTTCAAACGCCTTGTGAGTATTCATATTATATGAGGTACTTTTCACGCCCCAATGGTTATAATGAGATGATAAGAGAACGCACAAGAGGTACTCGTTACCACCAGCAACGACAATTAGTCGTTTGCAGGACTAGTTACAGCGTCATGAAATATCCATGGCTGAGGTAGCGACGAAAAGAGAATTGACATAGGGATCGGTGGAGGCCAGGGGGGTTTCTGGGCCTGGGGGCGGTGTTACTATGACTTATGTAATTAAATGCCCGATAAAACGGCAACATTCATGATCAACTGCCGAAAGCTTTCGATCGAGGTGTGAAGCAGGCTTTTTAATGGGCCGGACCGGTCTATACCGGACCTTGGACTGGTCCATATAGAGACAGGACCGGTCACAGAAAAATAAATATATGGTCCCTCCAAAGGTGTTTGTTGAAGTCGAAAGGGCTAAAAGGGAATTTAAAACTTGTTTTCTCTCACAATTGGTGGAAAAATATAGTCATAAACCGGCCCATATATTACTCCGCTTGACTGGCCCAGAAAACCACCCGGACCAGCCCAGCCCAGCAAAGGAAAATCAAAGGCCGGCCTATTAAAAAGCCTGGTGTGAAGGGGGGCAAGCTAGGAAGTGAAGTATTACTGTTAAAAACCTACTGAATTAAGCTCATGTGGTATTACCGGTTGCGGTGCAGAACTCGTCGAGTTGCATGCAATTAATGAATTAAACAAAAGAAAAAAAAAGCAGAACTCGTCGATACGGCTTCTGACGCTCGTGCACTGTAAAGAATCCAAGGATTACTCCTCCTTCAAGATGTAGGTGCTGTTGGTGCCAAGTTTATGGGTCCAGCATGTTTAATTTAGCTAAGGGATCTAAAATGAACTGTGCATTTGGGTATATCCCTGGGGAATTGGGAGTGGTGTTCGGTGCCGGCCAGTGTGGGGCCGTCAGTTGCCGAGCCGGTTCTATATACTCGAGTAGTAATAAGCACGAGATGGAATAAGACGGAATGTGGGTAGGTTACGAGATTTTGTGAGGTCGATATCTAGATCGCCACAGAGCTAACCCAAACCCACCAAGATCAGGTAGGAAAAGCCAATCAATTCTCGATACAACTCGAGTCATACCAAACCCTACCTAAATGATACCGTCGTCAGGACCGCGACCCGTGGATGCGAAGTATAGATCTATATATGATTATTTAGATAAGGCCTTTTCCCCTGTATATTCAAGAGTCCACTGCGTAAATATACATATAAGATCGAGTATGGATGGGTGGAAAGACAAGGGCACTGGGCTATATCACAGTAGAGTAATTGTTAGATTTACTCCATATAACCTAACCGGCCTGGGTGCTACTATATGGGAACGCTACCGTAGATCTAGATGTACAATGACAAGACTTGTAGGACTACTTCCTAAACGTGTCCTCTCGGAAGCTAGATTAGTATCAGCGGTTAGAAAGAAATTAATGAGTGAGATCCTGTGACTAAACTCCGGAACGTTTTGGCCAACTAGGTGTCGACTCGTTTATCTACAAGATTATGACAATTAACAGGACGGGGAAGGGAGGTATTATACCAATACTTCTTAAGCTCACGATATGTATATAACGTAAGGCCGTATTTCAGGGCCTTCCCGGACACCGCACTTTACAGCGAGGGTATGTAGATTTCCGCGCCGGTTTTCCTCCCGACCCACCCAGACGCGCAGTGCGCGCCATGGCCACCTATCTGACTTCGTCTCGAGCTAGGTGCACAACATTAATGCGCCCCTCTTTCCATATGTTGAGCAAACTACAAGTCGGAACCGACGGCTGCCTCTGTAGATCTCAAGCCACCGCTAGGACCCTGCATGTCTGAGAATTCAAAGTGGACCACATATGTACCAGTGTTGCGGATGACAACAATAGACACCTTCCCCCTCTACCGGAACACTTCAGTCAGTAAGTGTACACTCAATCGTGAGTTACTCAGGGGGTTACCGACATTGGCTATTATACTGATTTATGGATTTTTTTGAGTAATGTTACACACCGTTACTGTTACCGTAACTGGCTCTGCTCCTGTTCCTCACCACTTTTCCTAGAATCTAACGATTAGTAAAGGCCGTGGCATGCAAGTGAGGCAGTTATGGGGCGGGGAGGGGCGGAATGTGCTCAATGCGCTTAATTGTGTGGCACATACCGCAAAAAGAAACGATTAACTGATGATCACCCATCAAACATCTACAATGGCGACTCAAAGTGGTGAATTTCGCCACTACTGGTGTAACTAATCATGCACTGGATGATCCTTCTACAGTTATTACAGTTTCAATGATCCATTGGTCCAGAGGTATGGTGCAGGCACTTTTCAGTGATGATACCACATGAAAGGATCTTGTGAGGAGCTACAACTATTAAGCTATACAATCATACTAATTATATACTTCAATGAATTTTAGTTTTGATTGGAAGCCCACTAATCATCCTCTAACGAGAAGTTAGAAACGTATATCACCCTTTCGGGAATGAAAGAGCTGTGGCTCGGGGTGCTGGCATCTTTCATGGGATAAATCAAATAGTACAATACTAAGAACACAGAATTGAGATATTGAGGATGGTCATCTGCCATCTAGCGGACGCGCGCGTCAATTGACGGAATATAGTGGCTCACATATACTTTCTCTACTGAACATATATGTGGCAGTATTCTCTCTGATCGTTGAACAATGCACGTTTTGTCTAGACCCCCGGAAATCAAAATTGCCATACTTTCACAGTAGGGACAACCCAAAAAGAAAAGGTAGATATTTCACAACGTTGATTTTTAGAGCTTCTCTTTCCCCAGAAGACCCCGCCGAGAGAATTTAACTACGGTGGTTATTAAGTTGGGTTTTGTGTGGAGAAGGCTCGACCAATTGCCACAGTAGTAATAGGTGGCGCAAACCCAGGGTTAGGGTTAACAAACCAGGGTTAGGTCTACTATCTAAGCTCTTTTCTAACTCGTGGAGTATATATTTCACAGACGTGGACAGAAGAATTAAGTAATTAGTATTTTGCCTATTTTGTACCCTGTGAAATGGTTGATTATATCTTACTACTACAACCCGTAGAGGAAAAAAGCTAGGTCTAAACCCAATGGCAGCTATTGATGCCCGGCACCATTAACCATGCTAGATCGACGTCAATGCTAATAACTCGAATTATGCTGGTAATTAGAGGCCTGCATTATAAGCTACTATTTACCTGCCCCGCCTAATCTTATAACGCGATACCCGCCGGAATCGGTCAATCAAAGGTGCACTATCCTCCACGCAGTATGTAACATGTGGATTCTCGTAACCGCATATATATATGGTATTTGGGCTGTACTGGGGTGTACACCACCACAATTGGAATGCATTGTTAAACGCAATGGTAAACATATGCCGACGAGCTTCACACTATCAGTTACTAGCAGGCCTAAATTTACCTCTTCCAGATGGTGCCTATCAGGTATCACAAGCCCACCAACCACAGTCGGCCGCGGATGGGCAAGTTTTGATCAGAGCAGAAGATGAAATCCTGATCTCCAAGCTGTGAAATTTCGATTTTACCATTTTCACCGATCTACGCACCTTTACTACAAGCCGAAGCGCTGCCGGAGGTAAGATAGTGATATCTTTATGCGGCCTCCAACATCAAGCATCGGGATACTAATAATAACTTGTAGGGCGTACTGTAATAGAGATAGAGGTGTTAACTCCATACTCCTCGGAAAGTACTGTGGTCATCGAGAGGAGACAGAATTCGTCTATATAAATTAAGCCGCTCTATTAACCTGAGATTCGATTTTAGAGCAACATCATCCTCTACCTTTACCAACACCCGCCCACGCACTCTATCCTCCACAATGAGCCTCTACTACGTATACATGCGCTGGTTGAGGAAGACCGACGAGAGAAGCGGTTCATGGGCCCGCCAGCTCCTCACCTGCGAGTCACGCTACGTCGCAGACGAATTCTTCCGCGCGTGCCAAGACCTCAAAGACAACCGCGGACAGCCTCGGTTCACAAAGCTAGAGCGCAGCACCCCGCAGTTCTGGATCTACGACACCACCGACAGCGAACCGTGGAACGCGCTTGTCGACATCCTGTGCAAGAGCCCCCTGCCGGCCAGTGTTGAGGGGAGGGTTATGTCGACGCTCCTCCACGACGGCGTGGGGCGCGAGTGGCCGGTTGCTCCAGTGGCTGCGGGGCGAGATTGGGTCAACGGGAATACGTACTTTGTCCGCAATATCCGGCAGCCGAACCTGTACTGGTTCGATGACGGGTCTAACCCTGGCATTCTATATATATCGAATGGAGGCAACAAGACAAAATTCCGTGTAGTTGGCACCGACATGGGGAGCGTTAAAAGGGTGCTGATACGGTCCGAAGTTGTCCGTCTTGAGATTCCCCAGTCGGGCAACAGTCCAACGAGGCATCTTCTATGCGATTATAATAACCGCCTTGTGTGTGCGTCGGGTGGAGGGGGTTGGACGTTCAAATTCGGAGACCTCCTCGGAAGGTTTGGAACCAGATTTATTGGAAAAAATCAATTGGGGATCTATGGGGCCGTTACGTGGGGTGAAGGCAATGATCCGGATGAGTGGGAACTTTGTTAATAGAGTATCATGTAGGATCAAGGATGGACAGGTCTGATTGTGCAGCTCCGATCCTATGCGTGTTCTGCACCTGAAGTCTAGATCTTTAGTGTATCGTTCTGTATGTGACATTATATACATAGTACATGTACTCAGATCATACAATTAATGAATTATATAATCAACTAACGGTTACTAACCCATTGCATGTACTCGGAGCAGCTCCGTTTTCACAACACAGAGAAGAATGGAAAGATTATCTAGCATGTGCGTATGGCGAAAGCCGACTACCAGGTTGGGAGGTGAGACTAATTAAAACAGAAATTCCAAGCCATGTATCGAGTGATAATCCATGACCATGCCGAGTCAGTATCGATCACAATATATATATATAACCTCAACACACATGTACACATAAAAGGCTCGAATCCGTACTCGGAGATTTGTTCTCCCATCAACCGGGTATCGAGACCTGGGTTTCTAGATGACGCCTAATCGTGGAAGTGAGAACATCAAGTACCCCCCCGAAATACTTGACCGTATTGTCTCCGTATTGCCAAGGAATGCCACATTCTAGCACCCCGATTTCTGGTACTGTATATATTCAAAGCATATGATGTATTCAAATGCTTATAGGCCCATATTCTTGTCGCCCGTTTACAAAGCAGCTAAGACCAGCACCCCGGTTTCTTGGCCCATGTATTATCACTCGGCGATCCTTGCAGAATTTCCAGCGCAAGAGCCTGTGAACAGAAAGCTTCGGTCTGCTTGCATGCAACGCTCTATGCCGGAGGTCATTAAATATCGGCGCCTTTATCTATAAGAATATGATCCGTATGTATTTGCGTTCCTACGAGCTCGGGTACGCTCTTTTTAAAAACATCATCGGATCCATCCGCGATCCTAGCCTTCACTTGCGCATCCCCCCCGAAACTATCGCACTCGACACTTTTACCTCCCCTTGACCTCAACATTCACTATTTATTCATACTCTCCAGAGCTCTAAGCCGTTCCCGGTGCTGGGAACTCTGTCCCATTCCGATCGCGTCTAGTATATATACATACATTCCTTTCAATTTAGTCACCCCATATACGTCTTTCCCGGTCCATTCCAAGCCCCGAGGGGGTGGGGGAGTAACATCCAGAAACCTATTCCCGATCTTCTTTCCGCGCGTGTAAAGCTCCTCGGTTAACTAATGATATTTACATCCCTGATGCGCCACATTAAATTCTTAGTCTTAGTCCAGGCTTGAACCTCCGCATTTCCCCACCGAATACATATAGACGGGAGTGCAGGATTTTGAAATACATATGATGAAACCAAACCAGCCAAAGTCCATCAAAACACCAACAGGAGGGCACCGACGCCACTTCGATGTCTTTGGGCCGATATTCCCGCCGGTCTAAAACGCATGTCGCGGCACCTGAAAGCTGATGTAGTCATGGTTTCTCACTCGTGTTTGTCTCTCGTAACGTTGTTGATTTTGGGGGGGTACGTTTGATGCCTATACGGAGTATTCGCGAGAGTTCTTGTTGTGGGGGCCGGTGGGATTTGATGGCTACATGTACCTGTAGTTCATCGGTATGGATATTTGAGGGTTTGTAGGGGGGTATATATAGATGTAACTGGGCACATATATATATATACATGTAGGTAGACTTCCCTTCTTGACTCTCCCAACATTCCCTTCTTTATAAGCGTATCAACGCCGCAATCGTCGAGACTCTCCGACTCTCAAAGTGCCAACATCATGGGACCCGACCCCACAAATCCAATCCCCCACCCGATGAAGGCGGGGAAACGAGTCATCGGTCGAAACGAGACCCAGCCAGCCGCCGTACGTACTGCCCGGCTACCAGATGACTAGTATAGTAGTTAACCGGTCTACGCACGCGTACGTGTTGCCTCCCAGCGTCGCCATGATGTCGCGGTCGAGCAGCTCGGGGTATCCGATACAAAGTGTGGTCGGTGTCGGTCCCATCCAGCCGGGTCTTAATAACTGAGCGCGATATATAGCTTTGGTTGGGTTTGGTAGTATTGGTGGAGGAGGATGGCGGGATGGGATATATGCCGACATTGCTTGACATTGTAGTCGGAGTGGAGATTCTGGATCTGCGGTTTAATTGTTAGCTAGTAGGTCCGGTCTGCTCGGGGGATTTCGGGTGGCCGACCGCGCGGGTGGGATCGATTGCTCAGAGCTCGATAACTTCAAAGCTCCGACTGCCCTCGACGTTTTCTGTATACTACATCATATATGTCAGACAAGATCTTCGGTGTGATTCCGTTCCTGCGACATGGCACTAGCTAGTCCCGGCAGTGAGGGAAGGTCAATGATCGCTAGGACCACTTTTGGCAATACCGCACATAATCAGATTAATTGGCGGTGAATCTCCATGGTCGTCAAATCTCTCGTTTTCTATAAAGCATGCATATCAGTTCCATCACACCCTGTCCAGACAAAAGTTCACCCAGCAGCGATACAACCCCCCCCCCCCCCCCCTTTCCACGTTCTTAAGATCACTGACTTGCCCCCTCCCCCATGCCCCAAGCCTTGCGCGGCGCCTTGTCGAGCCCGTACGTACGTCCAAGAAGACCACGAACTCGGGCACATTCTCAGTAGAATTGGGCTTGTAGTGGATCATGTTGGGATTAGGCAGCAAGGCAGCGTGGTGTAGATTAGAGAGGGGGCTAGCTGTGTTGGCGGGGTTGAATAATGTACCTTAGTCTCACTTTCCTTCTTCCCCTTATCTCTTTACTTTTTCCTCCTTCTACGTCGATTAGAATTTTCTTTTTATCAACAGGGGACGAGTATCTCTTGTCGTTGCGGTGCGGGGGCTCAGTGCGGGAGATGGGGTCAACAGCGGAACTCTCTGAGGAGGCTGGGGAGGCGTCGAGGCTTTTATGGTTTGAAGAATATGGTGGTTTGGGAAAGAAGCCAAGAAAAGTGGGTCTTGGGCTCGGGGAGTATTTATAGTGTGGTCCATGAGCCGGCTCAGGTCTTTGGGGGGTGGGCTCATAAGGCTCGAGCTTTAGGAGAAGGCTCATGAAATGGCTCGAGCCGCCAAGTTTAGAGGGTCAATGATCAAGTTTCAAGTTCATGTAACTAGCCAGATATTAAAAATTTAATAACTCCTGAACTATAAGAGCTAGAGACAAAAGAAAGATGCCAAATGAAAGGTACAATAGTGAAGAATGCGGTGGTATAGGCCCTATATAAAGCGAAATTGTTATGGACAAGCTGGACCTGATGGTTCAATCTCTTCCTCTTCGTCCCCTATTTCTCCAGCCTCACACATTGATAATTCCCAGTCTTCAAGTTCCGGGTCCTTTAACCAACTCTTCAGTAGTAGTAAAGAACTACAAGATCCTTCTAACAGTTTATTCCGCTTCTTTGTGATGATATCACCCGCTAGTGAGAAGATTTGTTCGGAAGGTACGCTGCTTGCTGGTGCAGAGAGATAATCCTTCGCCATTTTTGAAAGAATTGGAAATCTCCGTCTGTTCAAAAGCCACCACTGTACTGGGTTGACCTTCCGGTCTTCTATCCTTTCCGCCAAATATTGCCTAATCTCTTGATGTGCCGAATGTCCATTAGATTCTACGGCTGAAGCTGCAGAAGGTCTGCCTCTAGGCCGACTTGGGGCGTCAGGTGTAACGGCAATATTATATTCCGGCTAGAATGATGGATTGGATCGTGAAGAGGAAGTATTGCGCAGTTGAACTATGATTTGTAATGGGGTTTCTGTTATGTTCTTTCGGTTTCCATTACGCGGAGTATTAGTCATCAATGGACTAGGGGTTGGATATATAAGGGGGCGTTGCCTCGTGTCTTTTCATGTTTCCTTTCCTTTCCCTTTTCTCTTCACGGAACCTTTGTATTTACTCCACGAATACTACGTTTGTCCTACGCCTCCTCGCAGGGTTCGACTGGTTTGTCATACCAGGTAGAACCATCCCATAGTCCATAGCCAAGAATACCTATTGCTACGTCTTCGCCTCGGTTGTATTCCTTGGCACTATAGTCCCTACGCCCATAGACCCCCCGTTACATCAGGTGGCTGCAAAAGCTCCAAAGATTGTGAAACTTGAGGCCCGAAAAGGACATTAATAAATTCATCATCAGTGTCCGAACTATCATCAAGTTGATCCTCTGCTATACGATTTATCTGATTTGGCTCGTAGTACCGTGATTGATACACTCTTTCAAGATGACATTTAGCTGTTGATTTCCATGAATTATTCCAACCAAGATGATCGAAGGTATCCATTTTGCAACGAGGGTCTAATATAAGACTAATTGCTTGACTCGAATGATTGTCTGTCTTTTGCCAATAAGTATTCAAAACCTCCCAACCCTCCCTACATGCTTTGTTCAAGATCTGGTATTCCTCAGCTTCACCCTCCTCTGTCGAATCGTTGAATTCATTTAATTGCCGTAGGAGATAGGTGAAAAAAGGAAGTTGAAAATAAAGAGTCAGATATTTGATTGCGGATACCTTTTTTGTTACTTTAACAAAGATACTTAAAATAGCAACCAGTCGTTCAATAAGATCCCAGTCCTCTGAGGTCAGTCGGAATCCATCGGGACCAAGCTTTTTTTGAAATGCCATCAACCGGTCCAGTGCAGGGCGTAAATAGAGGAGACGTTCAAGCATGACATACGTCGAGTTCCAACTAATTGTTATTAGCATTGTGATTATTATATATTTACTGTTTGGTCTCAACTCACCGAACTCTCATATCTAATATTGGTCTTCTAAGTTCAATTTTCATCACAGAACATTCTGCCTCCAACGCTTCCCATAGAATATTTGAAGCACGAATTCTTGAGATGATTTTCCGAACTAGCTTCAAGATCCCGATGGTGATACATCATTTTCACCAATTCCGGCATCTGCTTCAACCAGTACAATTTCAGGTACTGTAGCTTCACCCTTCAATGACTGCAATATCTTTTGTGCTGACAGGTTTATAGTGTGCGCCATACACCGAATCATTCCATCTTGCTTCGTCCAATCGTCCAACATCGATTCCAATAACTGGAACATGCTCTCGTTCACTCGTGCATTATCCGCTGTAATACAATTGACTGAGTTTTCAATTCCATAGTCAACTAGAATCTTTTGGGTAACATTCGCAAGATTCTCGGCAGTATGTGATCCACGTAAACGTTGAAATGCGAGCAAAATATTATGGGAATTATATTCCTCATCCATCCAGTGTGCTGTTATACCTAAATAAGGTATTTTATTGCCTGATGTCCAGGCATCGAGTGTCAGATTGAATCGACCGCCGGTAGATGCATGACAATACAATTGTTTCTTTATTACCGGAAATAATTCCTCATGGATATTTTGAATATCACGTGCAGCTGTTTGATGAGATAAAACAGGAACATTCGGATTGCAATATTGGAGTAAATTTCTGAAAGCTTTCGATTCCACTATTCGGAAAGGGGAGTTGGTATCGACTATAAAAGCTGCAAGAAGCTTCCGGAATTGTGGTTCAGTAAATGATTTGCCGGGTGATCGGTTTCCAGTAGCCTTTAGTGCCAACGTCCATGGATTGCTGCTGATTCGGGGTCTCTTCTTATTTTGATTTAGAATTCTCTCTTCCTCCTCAAAAGAAATAGGAAGAGCGCGATGGGGCTTCTGAAAATGGCGTAAATAGTGACTTGATGTCTTATAACTGAAGGTATATGGGCCCCAAGGCTGCTTATTTGCAGGACAATGACAGTATCGAACCTCATAATGTGTATAAAGAGGGATATCATTATGGTCTGAGTCTGCTGGATTTTGATTGGTTTCTGAGTCTGAGGTGGATTGACTGTCATGATTGCTTGTAATCACTTAGGTAGGCACTTTATTTTTGATTAACAGATAAACACCGGAAACGTCGAAAAAAAGATCAAGCGGCACAAGAACTAGAGGAAACGTTGACTACTATTCGCGAACTTCCTGGGTTTGAAAGGCTCCAGCTCCCTCCTACATCTGAAGAGCTCATGTCGATAGCATCACAAGGTCCGATAATTATCTTCAACTGCTCACAGATTCGAAGCGATGCTATTATTATTACTCGTTCCGCCATAAATTCTCTAGCCCTTCCCCAATTAAAATACTCTGAAACTAAGGAATTGATGAGCCAGATACCCACATTTGCACGTGGTGGGCTTCCTACATACAAGGGTAGGAACAAGCGAATGAATGAACTTCTTGTATGGCTCTGGGACTTTGCAGTGGAGTCAGTTCTCGACAGGTTACAAACGGTTTTTTGGAGCAAAGAAACCGGAACTACCAAACAGAGCCATGAGCTTGGTAAGCTCCCCAGGGTTTTGTGGATCGGAGTAGGGCCTCTAGCTATGGCACCCTTCCACGCCGCGGGGGAACACTCACGCCATTCCCGGCGTAACACCATCAGTAGAGTCATTTCGTCTTACATTCTTACTATCAAGGCCCTCTCCTATGCTCGAGAAAGAAAGCTGGAACTTCTAGCTGGATCTAGGCCCTGCCTACTACTTGTCACAATGCCAACTACCCCTGGCGCAGGTAACCTCCACAGTGCGACGCATGAAATCGAAGATATTAAGGCCACGGTTATTAGAAAAGCAATCGTCAGTCACTTAGACTGTCCGAGCGCAATGAAGGTTGTTGAAAAACCTCAGATCTCTCATGCCGTTCATTTTGCCTGTCATGGTATCTCAAATAGTGAACGTCCCTCCGACAGTCATCTAATCCTCCGAAAAGATGATGGGACAGATCTGGGGACACAGGATAGGTTAACTGTTACGGACATATCAAAAGCAAAGCTCCAAAATGCTCAAATTGCATATCCCTCTGCCTGTTCGACTGCAGAGAACTCTTCCATCAAGCTTTCAGATGAAAACATCTACATTGCTAGCGGTTTTCAGCTCGCAGGTTTTAGTCATGTTCTCGCAACTCAATGGGAGTCGAAAGATACTGCTTGTCGACAGGTTGCAAGAGATTTCTATCGATTTTTATTCAGTGACCAGCTTGGTGGATCCGGGGGTGGTGAGAGTGAGGACAGTCATCGAAAGGTCAGCGCTGCACTTCATAGCGCTGTGAAAAAGCTACGAGCTCAGAATCTCGCGCAACCTCTCAAATGGGCACCTTTTATCCACACCGAGGCCTAGATATTGCCATGTTAAAGCCATCCGGGCGGTTCCGGAAACACTTTCAGTTTCTTTTTCTTTCATTTTATGTTTTGAGATGTGTGTCGTGATCTATCCGGTATGGTAGTATACCATCCGTTCCTTTTTTACTTTCTAGTACATCTAAAGCCTGAATCTTCTCTCGAGTATGTACGTATACGTTATCTTTCTACTCTATGGGTACGAATTTATTTATTTCTCGCGATCCCGGGTCCCGTATGCAGGCATCATGCGTACCGCTAGGTTTTGTTATTTATTGTATGCAGACAAAATGATATATGGCAACCAGTAACGCTTGATTATATTATCAAGAGTGCCTGTAACTATGTCAATATATATGTGTTGATACCGAGTCGTCGGCTTATATTTGATCGTCATATATATGGGGGCGCCCCTCGTGTTTGGCCGTAATTGCCAAGGAAAACCCCATCAACAAAGACAACTTCATAACCACCCAAAACAACCATTCAAAGTCATCCTACACACAATGTGCTTTAATTCTATATAGTTCAGAAGCAGATCTATCTTTCTATACAATAATCTCATCTTCCGTGCTTTTACTATCCTCACATTTCCTGCATGGACCCAGCTTCTGCATCACAACTTAGAGTCATGCTGTATTAATTCTCAGTACTTGAATGCCTTCTCTAGATACCTTATTACTCGTTGGCAAAATTTGTCCATCTGATGGTGGCTGCCTAGACACCCCCGAATACTAGAATTAAACACACCCGTATTATCTACAACTAGATCCAACCCGGGATGAAAATGTTTTTTCACAGCTCATGGGGCCTTGACTCCTTTGGCTGCGTTGATACTCGCATACCATCGCTGGTTGGAGACTATGTATTGTCGTGTGCAAAAGATAAGCCATCTCCAATAATCAAGCGCTGCTGCGGTAATGCGATCGATATTTTCTATATCTAAGTCGATCTCAAGTTATCATACATGCATAATAAAGCAATATTCTAACCAGCTGTGATACTCCGATCAAAATGTGCTTCTAGATATATGTGCATATCAGGTATAGATATGATGAAAGTTTCACTTGCCTTGTATCACAGCTGACTTGTGTGAGCCAGTCTTCTTACTGGAAATCGATACACCACTCCAGCAAAGATACACGAGGCTAAAGGTAATTGATACGGTCCGAAGGTCACCTCAAAGCTGGATGCCTTGCCAGTGCAGAATTGAGGGCTTTGCCAAGGCAATTTTTAAAATCGACTACATACAAGTACAGGCATTAGCAAATAGTGTACACCTATTTAGCGAACTTGTATGTAGTAGTCAGTAAAACTTCGAGTTTGACTAAGATATCCTAATTCTTATTGGCCTTAATCCCTATTCGCCAGGTGGGTGTGTTCGCTGGGTGGCTATATCACTGTACATCATTTGTGAGTGTGCGCAGCGTGCGCAGCGTGCGCATGAGATATAAACTTTATCAAACTCCACCAGTCAGGCGAAGGCTCCGAGACTGAATGGAATCTTTATTTAAACCGGGGGGACAGTGGCTATTTTGATCGGCCTTCTCACTTCTTTTCCCACCACTTCCTCTGATCTTCATTACTCTTAGGTTTTACCTCGCTACACCGAGGCGTGACAAACTAATCTCTCCTTTCACCAAGATCTTTGAGGGGTAGTTGCAAATTCTTCCGAGGTATCCCGATACCCATACCTCTCTGTGGCTTTTAACAATGCTAATATTGAGCTCCCTTGCCTCAGAATTTGTGTCAAAACTCTCACTCGGGAAAATATCTCAATATTGCACATCGAATAGTGAGGCTGGTTATACAAGGAATAATAAACTAAATTCCACTGTGATTGCAATCATCAAAGGGTAAAGAGCATATATATATATGTAGAAAAGGCATGAACTGACGGCTACGTACAGTTTAAGAACTTGAGCCAAAACACCGCCTTTTCGAGCTGGCTTGCTGTCCCACTATCTACGATTCAGCATGACCTCCGGCCACCCACCGGCACTACTCTGGTACCTTCTCTTGTTCGTGGGACTTCTTAGCTCTGTTTTCGCTCTGCCCTCGTCACCACCGTCAAAATACAATGAAACCGTGTCCGAGTACCACACACCTCTAGGAAAAGTCAAATTCCACGCGGAGCCTGCCGGACGAGGAACGGTTGGTATTATTTTTAGCTGCACGGCCACATATATCTTTTGTGTTTGGACCGCTGTACATCCGAATATCAACGTGAAGGCAACCTGGAGCGGTCGGCTATGGTATAAATGTGTGTTAATGGTCCTCTCTGTTATCGTTCCCGAGGGATTACTTGTCTGTGCAGTTGGGCAGTACCTCGAGGCAAGAACACTCAAAGAGGCGTGGGGAGATAAGATGAAGGGCAAGGGTAAGCCCGTGGTGAAGATGCTAGGCATGAATGAGGCTTTCTTCATCGTCATGGGAGGTTTTCTTACGGATACCATCAAGCACTCCAATCCCGAATACCACAATCAACTACCAGGGGCGCGCAAGGGGCTGGAGCCAGGCACATATACGGCAATTCTAACCCCTACTGGCTTCCTACACTATCTGGAGAACGGTTACATCGATGAGAACTCATTCGACGTGGCAGAGATTGCTGATAAAGGCAAGGCCAACAATATTGCAAAGCTACTAGCCTGTGGTCAGGCGTTATGGCTGGTCGTACAGTCCTTTGCGCGCTGGGGAAGTCTACTTCCAGTCACTCTCTTGGAGATTCATGTGCTCATACAGGTTTTCTGCACAATGTTCATCTACGCTTGCTGGTGGTCGAAGCCTTTGGACGTTGATGAGCCTGTCAAGATTACCTTGAGAAAGGACGGGAATACGCCGCCAGACTTTACAATACCAGGTGTTTTGCAAGCGCAGGTCAAAGCAAGCAAGAAATATAGTAGGTTAAACCATCTAGTAACAAAGCTACCATGTCCGGGAAGTATCGCCATCAAGTCGAAGGCCTTCTTCGATCTCGTCACATACATCTACTCTGAAGGCATCAAAGTGGCATCGCCGGAACGCAAAAAGAAAACAGCACTATACGGGGTTGTTGGCATGGTGGTTGAGGGCAGTCTCGTGGTCCTTGTGGGAGGACTTCACCTGCTTGCATGGAATGTCTATTTTCCGTCTGCGATTGAATCGCTTTTATGGAAAGCTTGTTCTTTCGGAATGATCCTCTTCCCATCTATCGTCGTCTTCATTGCGTCCTTCACCAGATACGAGCGCGATTTATTTCCTATCTTGTGGAGGATCACTTTCAAGCCCCCGACGCATCGCGGTCTCTTGGGGTATGGGATCGGAAAGATTCACGGTATCTGTACTAAGCATGCAAGGAAATCTGCGGGATTGCCGCAGAAGCCTTCGAAACTGGACCCGGAGGAGCCCCCAGAATCGGGCCCGGGGGAGCCCCCGCAACCGAAACCATCTCTTTCCAGGCTAGTTTACTATGGCTTGCTTGTTTTAATGCATTATGCACTCGTTTATCTTTGTCTTCTGTCGCTCCTCTGCTACGCTCTCTCCACGACATTCATTGTGGTGGAGTCCTACATCAGCATGCGGGATCCTCCGCCAGGGGCATTCAAGACCCCACGGTGGAGCGACTACTGGCCTCATCTCTGATATCTTGCCTCACATATATACCCCATGCGCATCCTTCTGCGCTCCCTTTAGTTATAAACTCATGTTTTCCATGCAGTGGGTAGCTTAGAGCTATAGATGTGTTCTCGCGTTGGATTTCGATCATCATTTTGCTTCATTATGTTTATCTTTTTTTCCTTTGCGTCTCTATATTATACTGGGGGGTCTCGATGGTGCTGTCACTAGGGAATGGATATATTTGGATGATTTCAGGTTTCTACGATCTCTTCTGTGGGTAAGGCGTAGGGGGGTTATAACGGACAATATGGTGGGTTTCTTCGTTTCTTTGTCGCATGGAATGTTCCCGGGATTGCCGTGCTCTACTAACTACATGAACGAACTCGGCATAATATCAAGCCTGACTATTTGCAAAGCGTCTCATGCTCATTTGACCATCCATGCCTTCTTTCTCTGTTTGCTCAACAAAGGTTCCCCAGCAGCTGCAGTATAAGCCATAAATATATATAGCTACATATCAAAATCTGAGGTGTACAATTTGAGAAATCTTACTCTTTACAGTTGCCTGTTCTTCCACGAGAGATCCTCCCCATCGTTTTTGGGATGCACCTTACAATAGCCTGAGTATCAATCACATAATATCACTCGTTTCCTCTGAGACCACTTTATCAAAATATCGCAAGAGAATATGACATTTGTCATTTTTACCTGATCTACCCTTATTCGTTAACTATCGCGTCCAGTGCTTCGTGCATCACAGTAGAGGCCAATATCTCGTCACCGTCCGAATTCTCTGGTTTGCACAGTGATGCACGGGAGCCGAGACTTTATTGCGAGATTACATATGTGGATTTCAAATGGGAATATCTCTGCTTGTCCCGACTTCCCCCGTCGAGACAAATAAAGGGACATTCTGATCACTACCCCAGAACCAGGTTTCCCAGTCTTGGCACCACCCGTGTCCCGCTGTCGCCAAGACAACGAGCACGCGTCTTCCCGCGCCCTCGTCTCCCTCGTCTGCGGGCACCGGAGCACCGCAGCACCGCAGCACCCAGCACCCGCATCACCCGGCACCCGCACCCGCACCCGCACCTCACTGAAATGCCCCGCGCCCCCCGCCCCCGCGCCGCCAAAGCGTCCGGTCCCGCGAGCACCGGCTACACGCCCACCCAGATCTCGCGGCACATCAGCGCCTACTTCAGCGCCACGCCGCCGGCTGCCTGGAGCCTCGAGGCCTTCACAGCGCACTGCAGGACGCACGCGCATTTCGCGGCGAAGAAGACGCCGGCAATGGTCAACTACTGGCTGACTGAGTTGAAGAACATCCTGTCTGCGGAGGAGAGTGAAGAGGGGGAGGGTGAGAATGAGGGAGAGCGGGAGAGAGATGGGGAGAGGAGGGAGCGGGCGAGGGCTGTGCAGGAGGAGTGGAAGGGGAGGGGGAGGGTATGTGTCTGCTCTGGTGTGGGGACCCGGGTGTGCGGAGGCTGATGGACTGCGGGGGTAATGATAGAAGAAGCACCCGCGCTACACGGCGACAAACAGCATCGTCGTGCACGGCGACATCATCAACTCGAGTGTGGCGAACATTGCCGGAACACTGCCCGCGCCCGCCGCATCTCCCGCACCCCCGGTTGAGCCGGAGCCGGTCGCTGAGCCCGCCGCTGAGCCCGCCGCTGAACCGGAGCCCGACACCGACGACGACCGCCTACCGGTAAGTCTCTCCTCTCCCGCCCGCGCCCGTGCACTCTTCCAACCTCCTTCCAGACCCTCATCCCCACCGACATCACCACGCCCGGCACCTTCCTCTCGCGCTTCCCCGCAATGACACACAAAGCGCGCATCACCGCCGTCAAGACCCTCGAAGACACGCTCCACACCCACCTGCAGCAGGCACCCGCCTCCTCAGTGCTGCTCACGCACGGCATCATCGACCGCGACGACGCAGAGGCCGCTGCGCTGTTCACAACCGCAGAGATGAGGGCGATATCGGCGCTGGCACCGCGCCCGCCGGAGCAGGATGCGGCGTTCGAGTATGCGTGTGCGCGGTACACGGGGGGGAGGGGCGACGCGGAGTGGTATCGGGTGGTGTCGGAGACGCCGCCGCGGCCGGCGGGGGTGCGGTATGAGAGGGGGGTCAACTTTAATGCGACGTATGTTAACCATGCGGTGGGGGCTATGTGAGTGCTCCTATCCTCTATAGTAGTTATCTTCTGTGGGAGTTTTGCTGATACGGTGAGAGGGGCAAGATTGGGCAATATGGAACATCTGGCGGAGACGTGCAGCTTTGCGCCGGAGCCGAACGAGGGCTGGTTTGATGCGAATATCTGGGCCCCGCTGATTGACTACTGCTTCAAGGACCTGCACGGCGTGTCTCTCTCACGGTATCTCTCCCTTTCCCCTCCTCCCCTCCTCTTCTCTCTCTTCTCCCTTTTCATTCTCCTCCTGCCCTCTTCTCCCTTTCCCCCTCCTCCACCTCCCACTGACCCCCCCCCCCCCAGAAAAGAAATCATGTCCCGCGCTGCCCCACACTTCCGCTTCGACGGCATCCTCCTGCAACACCAGTCCGGCCAAGGCGCACGCGAATACGGCGCCATCGAGGTCGGCCGCAACACGCTGGGCACAAAGCGGCACACCGACAAGCTCAAGCTCGTACACATCCTTCACGCCATGCTGCACCGCCTCGCCGCCGAGGTAGGCGGGCGCTGGGAGGTGGCGAGAGGCTTGGAGACCGTGGGCGTGCATTGTGTTGGTTAGCTACTCTCCCCCATCCCCTTGATGTCCGCTCTTTGAGCAAGTAAAGAGTGATGGGTAAGAAGTTTGGATAGAGGCTGATAGAGGGTGAAGGCTCCTCCGTGCAGATTCTCCGGATGGGGTTTGTGAGTAGGAATGTGTGCCTGCTGCGTACGGGGCCGGTGCATCCCGTGCCGAGTCGGTTTGAGGACATGGAGGATGTGTTCCCGGCCATGAGGGCGGTGGTGGCTGCGAAGGTTTGTTTGTTCCTTCATTTTTCTGTGTTTTATGGGATAGGACGGCGGCTGATGGTGCGGGCGAGTGATAGCTGGTGATTAAGCGCTCGATTGAGATTGTCAAGGGGTATGAGCATGAGGGGTGGGCGGACGATATCTAGATCGATCGATGCCCTGGGGGAAGGATAGAGGTGCGTGGGGTCCTTTGCTAGAGGTGTAGATGCAATACCATATATTGGATATTGTGACTACGCTTTTTCGTTCTCTTTTTAATGTGCGGTTTTCGTTTGTGGCGGATCTTTCTATGATGTCTATCCCTGGCTGGCCGCGGATTAGAAAAAGGATGGGTAGATAAACGGTACGCTCTCTGATCGGTTTAAAGAGGTAGTAGACAGAGTACAGAGTGCCTCCTTGTAAGGGAAAATATTACCGCTGAATGTATATATTACGTCATACATTATCACTCGACTTTCTCGTGCGAGTCGGTTTTATCGTGTGGGTTTGGGCTTTCGTGCGTAGAAGTTGCATCTCCGGGTTGGAGTTATATCTCCTGCCCCCGTGGCCCCGCCCCAAACAACCAAAACCATGGAAAAACCGGTACCCCAAGAAAAACCATGGAAAGCACCCCACCATGCACCCACAACCGTGGAAACACCCCGTCCCCCACCCACACGCTCAGAGCCCTAGGCGACAACGAAGCCCTACCCAGCAGCGTGGCGTCCGTGATAATGGTCGTTCGAGTGTTTCATTTGTTTCTGTTTCTGCCCGTCATCGTGGAGACCGCTCTTCCGGCCTTTATTGCGTTCTGTATGGCCGTTGTGTTGTGCGCGTTGTTTCGGGGTCTGCAGTGTTCTTTGGAGGTATGTAGTGGGGGAGTAACTAGTGCTTTTTCTTTCTTCTTTTTTTCCCCCGGGGGGGGGGGGGGGTGGAGAGCGGTGGCGATAGATGGAAGTTTCGTTTACTCCCTCAGCTTCCTGAGTAGGGGATGTGGCAGATGATTGTAAACCAGAAAAGAAGATGTACAGCGCCATGCCATAAGTCATGGGAAGGCGCGAGGTCGCAACGCCTGAACACAAAATCTTTCACCACCACCGATGGCGCCCAGAGACCATGTACCTCGCCAGACAGCTAGGAGGGAATGACCAGCCTCCTTGCTGTGGCAAAAAACCGGAGTCTACAGCTCTGGTTGGAGGGGAATAGGGTAGATGTTCTGGAGGACTGGCTTGCCTATTCCATCCCATTGAACATGTTTGGGTACACCTCAAGAAGCTTTACCATCAACAGTACCCCCATTTGGCATATGGTACTAGATCACCTTAAGTATTAAATCCCCTCGTGGAGGAAGGTCTAATTCATTGCTGGGAACTGTTACCTGATGATTTATTTGGTAGCTAGTTGAGGAGAATAGAGCTGTTATAAGGCAAGGGGTTGGTACACAAGATATTAAATGTCAGATTATTTTTTATTTAGCTACTATTTAACAACTATACAAAAAATCAGCTCTCCAAAGGATCAATTGTGGTTGCTGGGTGGGTAGTCGTGGTGGCTCGGGAGGTTGCTACGCCGCGCTTTCCCATGATTTATGGCCTAGAACTATACAAGTACTTGCATGAAAGACATTGAAAAATAACATAATCGGTTATTGCAAGTACCCAAACATTCATACCCTGCGTCTGCTGAACAGCGTGGCTTGTTTGTTAGCCCGACTCCAACCGTACGCTGTCGCCCGGGAAACGGAGGTTAAAACCCGCCTCTCTTGGACCCCGCTGCGGTTGCAGTGAGGGCCGAGAGGGGCACGGGTCACGTTAGGTTACCTCGTCGATGGCTCACGGCCCTGCTCGAGCTCCCTCCTCGCGGGGGAGGAAGTGATAGTAAAAAGGCCTCTCTTGGTCTCCGCTATATATGGCTGGTGGTGCTTCCTCTTCGGGAGAGGGGGGAAGGTGGGGGGTAGTAGATATTCGTATGAAAGCGCCTCTTCTGGTCCTCTGGCTCCGGCCGGGGGGTCAGGAGGGCCCTTTTACGTTAGGTCGATCTGTTTCTTTGTCTGCCGCTTTGTGGGGGAAGGTTTCTCTCGATTAATCTTGGGCGCTGTCGAGGGGTTGAGAAAGACTTCCCCCCCTCTTGTAGGTGTATTTTCTTTTCGGAGTTGCTGTATAGTTTTGGGTTCACTACGAAGTGGTATGAGGGGGCTATTGCTCCTTTCAGTTGTGTTCTTTTGATAGAATCGAGTGATGATCCATGATTATCTCTGCCCTCCATTCCATCGTACTACGTGATAACACGGCAGGATTTTCTTAGCTGATCGGTAAATAAATTTCTAGTAGAACCGATCGTTTTCGCCTCTTCATTAAAACTCTATCTTGAAACCGAGGGTATTGAGGGTATTTCCGCTTTGCTCGGCGATCGATCGAGATATTACTGGCTGCATGCAGGTAAGAACTGGTACTCGTACTTTCGTGACGTTTGTAAAAGGAACCACTATTGCATACCATACAATTACGCGCCAAGTCCACAATTTAGTATGGTATGCAATAGCGGTTCCTTTTACAAACGTCACGAAAATACGAGTATACTCTATAGGTGATACTGGTCAATGTGCATGTGCACGTGCCTATGTAGCTACGTGCTGCTCTATGTATTGGAGACAAAAAACCGCAAGGTAGGTACATTGGAGCTAATCGATGGGGTATGTTTATCTCATGAACGATGTCTACGCGCGCGGGGTAGGAGAATTTATGTAGGTAGTATCATAAATACTCGCGGCAGGCAAAAAGTACCGGACAATGAAAGTTTTGTCTCTGGGCTTTTTTTGCAGTAGTTCACGCCTAGCACGCGCACCCATTGGTGAACCAAAAACCTGCATTGTCCGGTACTTTTTGCCTGCCGCGAGTAGATCGTGCACGACTTCTGGTATTCAATTGGTCGGACAGGTTTACACAGAGACCCTTGTCTCACAACATCTCCGCAAACCACCTCCGGTCCACCCGAGTGACGAATCATGACACCATTTACTAATAGGTAATCTACTTTTCGTCTCTCTGTACAAGGAACTTTCCACACGGCCGGTCCATGGCCCCCGCAACTACCAATCGCTCTAGAGTACTCTAATCCCGATCATCTCAGGCCCAAATGCCAAATGCTGATTCTTTTATGGATCCTGGGCGCCAAGACTGTGGCTATGCTAGTTTTCTGAAGCTCATAAGACAGGGTCAATAATTAATGTGGGGAATGCAGGCACATAAACCTTATCTAGACGTCCAGTAGTACTGCTGAAATCTTCGTAATTCGAAGTTTGACGTTAACCCCAACCCTGAGGAGATATATATGCAACACTCAGCACGTACCTGCAAGAGACATTTATAAGTCTCTCCACTACTTGTTATATAGATTCTTAGATACGTGATTCAAGGTCACCCTCCAAGTTACAATCTCGGTTATATACTAGATCCTTTACACAAGCGGATACCTGATACCCATGCATACCTCTTCCCTCTAGCTCTGCTTGTATAAGTAAAAGGGCTCTAACTGTTAATCGTAAGCCTCCCTAAGCAAGTTATTGACACTGGACGGCCCATAAATTTGTTCTGGTACATGCATTCATTCCTGAAAGGTACGGATCGACACTAGTACTTCTTAGGAATGTCTCTGAATTGTATGCAACGTTCCTGCATGAATCGGACACAACAAACTCTCTGTTAATATGGTCTAGGAACATTCTGAGCTGCCATAACCCCTATGGTCTAATTGTTAAGGAAAATGGCTAGTGCTAAGCGATAATTCTGTAGCGTTTAAACTGATGATATTGTAAAACCGGATTCCCTTGACTTGATGGTTGATGATACCCTCAAGTCTTCGCAGAATCAAGCCCTATTTATACATGTTGGAACCTATGCCAAGGCCCGCTTTCTAATACTAACTGATACAACAATAATAGAATAAGATAACGCTCCCGAAGATAACCCAGATAGAAAAGCGCCCCCGCATAGTCCCGTCCTCCATTCTAATTCCGACACGTAACCATGAACCTTGCAATTGCCAGTCATCGGGTTGTACCATACTATTATCCTAGACCTACTTCCCTAAGTAGAACAGCCTACAGCCGTAAGCCCCGCTTCCTATTCTATTCCGGGTGAGACACCCAATAGTAAACGTGCCGTCATAATAGTATAACACTAGTGTGGTAACATCGCGTGCTCCCACACTACCCGATACCTTTCTATGCTTGTCCTTTCGTTACCCGACCGTCCTCGCATCACAACCCGTCACTCGTATCCCTCATTGTCCTAAGCCTCTAGAACAGTGTTCCGTAGTTCCTGTAACACTACTCCCCCTTCCTAGACGTCGCCCTCGACCGTTAAAACCCTTCTATAATAAAAACCCTGTGGGAAAAGTCATAGAGTAGGGAAAGGTATCGAGCTTAGTCCCGCCTGTTCCGTTGTAGCTTATGAGCCCGGTCATTATCGATCGCTGGGCCTCGACTTCGCGTATGGGGTCGTGTGTTCGAGGTTGGCTGGAAATTCTCGTCTGCCAATGCCTCCTGTGGCTCGGGTGTTGCCAGTCGCTTTCGTGTATTTTGTTTTCTGGTGGGATCCGGGTCCTCGCGATAGGGTCGCAGCAGCATCTCGTGAAAGACGTCGTGAACCTTCCATTCTACCGGAAGTTCGAGACGGTAAGCCCGATTGCCCACCACTGCTGAAACTGTAAATGGCCCTGTGAACTTGTCTGACCACTTGGAGTATCCTCCTAGGTTCCGAGTGTCCAGCAAGACTTTCTGACCGATAGTGAACCGCTGTACTGCCGGTCCTGGCTTTGACGCCATCCTGTCGAAGGTCTTCTGTAGCGTGTCTCTCGCTAACTCATGAGCCGTGATGATCTCATCCAAGTAGTTGTTCCCGTTGGCGTCTAATCGTTCGATCTCTGCATCCGTAGGCCAATCCGTTCGAGGGTGGAAGCCATAATTGCAGTAGAACGGCGATTGCCCCGTCGACGTATGCTTCGCATTGTTGTAGGCGTATTCACAGATAGGTAACAGGTCCTTCCATTTCTTGCCTGTTCCTGCCGTATATGCCCGAATATAACCTTCCATGTGTTGGTTGGTCCGCTCTGTTTGGCCGTCGGTTTGGGGGTGGAATGAGGTGGAGAGTCTTCTACGAATCCCCAG